TAACAATCATTAAAAATATCATATATCATGACCTTCTAGGTCTCATGCCAGGAATGCAAGGATGGTTTAACATGTCCCAATCAATAAAAGTAATACATCACAAAAAGAAGGAAGAATCAAAATCATATGATTGTCTCAAAAGATTCAGAAAAAGCTTTTTAACAAAATCCAACTTCCTTTTATGATTAAAAAAATACTGAAAACACAGACATTAGAAGTATCTTATCTCTATCTGATAAAAGCCACTGATGACAAACTTACTGCTGACATCATATTAATTGGGGGAAAACTGTAAGCTTTTTCTCTAAAATCAAGAACAAGACCAGAAAGGCCATTATCACCACTCATGTTCAACGTGGTACCTGAAACATTAGCAACAGTAATAGGTAAGACAAGAAATAAAAGGTGTACAAAGAAGACATTAAATCATCATTTGCAGATAAGATGATCCTCTACATGGGAGACCCACAAAAATCCACTGAGAGACTCTTAGAATAACCAAATTCAGTAATGTAGTAGGATACAAAATCAACACAAAAATCAATATTGTTGTTATACACTAATAATGAGCCCATGGAGAAAGAAATCAGGAAAACAAATACTATTTCATCACAGCATTAAGAAAAATTAACTTAAGAATTAACCTATGAAGTAAAATATCTCTACCAAAAAAAAAAAAAAACCTCTGAAAAAAGAATCAAAGACATCAGAAAATTAAAAGATATTCTCTGTTCTGGGTAGGCAGACTCAACATAGTCAAAATGGCCATACTTCCAAAATTGATGCACAGATTTAGCCCAACTCCAATCAAAAGCAATAGCAGCATTTTTTTTTACAGAACTAGAGAAAGTAATCTTAAAATTCATACAGAAACAGAAGAGACTCAGAGTAGCAAGAAAAATTCTGGTTGAAAAGAGGAAAGCACAGCTGGGCATGGCAGGATACTCATATTACCCCAGCACTCAGGAGGCTGAGGCAGGAGATTGTTGTGAGTTCGAGACCAGCATGGGCTACAAAGTGAGCTCAAGGCCAACCTGAGCTGCATAACATGACCCTCTCTAAAAAGAACCAAACAAACAACAACAAAAACCCAGCAAAGCAAGAGCCAATTCCCAGATTTGAAGTTATATTACAAAGGTACTGCTGTAGTTAGGGACCACAAGGAAAATGATTACATACGGGACACATAATTTGTAGAATTATTTTATAATAGTCACCTAAAAGCTCAAACACAAGACTATAACATGGATGTCAAGTGCTGTGCTGTCGTTCCCCATGCTCAAAATAAAGCTGTTTCTTAATTATACCTGTCTGCTATGCTTGTGTAGCAGCCAAGGACTCCTGGTCTCATACACAGTGAAGAAAAAAAAAAAAAGTCAAACACAGAAGGCGCAGCAAATCTGTCCACACACTAAAGACCTCAAAGAATCCAGTGGAGGGCCCAGATACCCTGGCAATATCCTGCATGAGTCCAGAAGACCTACAGCCCACAACTATGACTCATCCATGTCTGTTTCATGGATCAATGCTGGGAAGGCCCAAAAGTTAGTGGTAATTGCTAGAAAGTCTGCCAGCGGGATGAAGGATCTGTGCCAGTAAGTTCAGAGTTCTGCACTGGAGCTAGGAAGCAAAGCTCAAAGTAAGGACCAGGGTGCCCCCAAAAAGTACCACAGCCATCCCCAGCAACAATGAGGCCCGAGCTCCTCTGATGATGAGAACCGCAGAGTTCTTATGGAAGCCAACCCGACTAGTTTTTTTTTTTTTTTTTCCCCCTCCAGGAGATCAAATAGCACACCCTCTTCCTCTCCAGAGCCAGGAAGCAATGCTCAAGTAAGGACCAGAGCTCGCAAAGTGAACTGCAGTCATTCTCAGAGACCACAAGGGCCTGAGTGCCTCTGACAATGAGAATTGCCAAGTTTTATCAGGAAAGAATCTTGACAAACACCTCTAGGAGATCCAAAGGCAACAAAAGGAGAGTCAACAACACTCAGGAGAATCAACAACACTACTTCTTCCTCTCCAGTTCTCCTTTTAAACTTGGCAGCAATCCTCAGGCGAGCCATCCACACTCAGCACCATGCAGTTTCAGTTCGCCTGATATTACAAGCTGACCACCAGTCATCAATCCATCACAGGTACAGTAATAAAACAGCATGGTATTGGCACAAAGAGAGACAGGAGGATCAATAGAACATAACAGAGGATGCTGAAACGACTCCAAACACATTCAGCTACTTGATCTTTGACAAAGAGGCCAAAAACATACACTAAAGATAGTCTCTTTAATTTGGGGGGGGGGGTTTGCTAGGGATCGAACTCAACCTTGTACTTGCCAGGCAGGTGCTCATGCCACTGAGCTAAATCCCCAGCACCCCTCTCTTTAATATTAATGTTCGAAAAACTGGCTATCCACATGCAGAAGATTAACTCTACACTCTTATTTCTTACTATGTAGTAAACTAAAATCAAAAAGGATCAAAAACTAAATGTTAAAAACAAAAATAACCTGCTGGAAGATAAAATAGATAAAACTCTTGAAGAGAAAGGCATAGACAAGAATTTTTTCAACAAACCCACAACACAGGAAATATACCAAGGATCAACAAATGGGAACACATTACATTTATAAGCTTCTGCACAGCAAAAGAAATAATCAACAAAATTAAAAGACAACCTAAAAAATGGGCAAAAAAAATTTTTATTCCTCAGACTGAGGACTAATATCTAGACTAAAGCATTTTTAAAAACTAGCCCCCTTAGCTGGGCATGGTGGCACACATTTGTAATCGCAGCCCTTGGGAGACTGAGGCAGGAGGGTCATTGTGAGTTCAGACCAGCCTGCACTACAAAGTGAGCTCAAAAGCCAGCCTAAACTGCATAGTGAGTCCCTGTCTCAAAAAGACAAAAACAAAAAACAAAAAACAAAAACAAAAAAACCCCACAACAACAATAAAACCAATAGACAGTGAACAGATGTTTGATAAAAAAAGGACGAATGGCCAACAAATACATGAAGAAATGTTCAACATCATTGGCCATTAGAGAAATGCAAAATAAAGCAGCACTGAAATTCCACCTTACCCCAGAAAGAACAGTAATCATCAAGAAACCAAATAATAACAAATGCTAGTGAGGCTTAAAGGGGAAAAAAAGAACCCTTCTACAATGTTAGTAGAGATGTAAACTAGTACAATCACCATGGAAATCAGTGTAGAGTCCTCAAGAAAACTCAATCTAGAGGTCTGATTTGACAAAAAACTAAATCTAGAGATTCGAGCTATTCCCCTTCTAAGTATCATCCTCATAAGAGTTAGAGACATCATGCACAGTGATACGTGCATACCATGTTTGCAGCAGCACAATTCATAACAGCTAAATTTTGGTAGCAGCCTATATCTCCATCGACGAATGGATAAAGAAAATGTTTGTACATACAATGGTGTACTACTCTACTTAAAGAAAGATGAACTTGAGTCCTTTTCAGGAAGATAATTGTGCCTTGAGACCATACTGTTAAGTAAAATAAATCAGAAACACAAGGTTAAATATTGCATGATTTCTTTTATATGGGAAACCCAAATTATAAAGAAAGAGCAAAATAAAAGATAAGGAAGTAGGGAGACAGATCTTTCTCAAATAGAAAGAGGATCAAGAGAGGGTGGGACAGAAAAAAAGATGAAAAAAGGAATTAAGATGTGTTGTGTGTATATATCATTTCCATATGAGGAACATTAAGTGTTATATACTACAGGTATGTTGTAATAAAGAAAAATCGCATCAATAAACTTATGTTCTGTGACACCATTGTTTTAGCCTTCATTAAAATTTAAAATTTAATCTTCAAATGCATTATTTAAAAAAAACACACATGAGCAGAAAATATCTACAAATCATATACTGTACTTGATAAAATACTTCCTTAATAGACAATGTAATATAACACAGTGAGTCAATCCAATTAAAAAATTATCAAAATACTGAATAGAAATTTCATTAAAGAAGAAATATGAAAGGCCAATAGAAACTGGAAATTGATAGTTACTATCATTAGTTATGTGCAAAAGATAGTAGGATACTAAATCATACCCACTAAAATAGCTGCCAAAAAAAAGACAACAGAAAGCATTAATAAAGATGCAGAAAATACAGAATTCTCTGGTCTATATGGTAGTATGGGAAACAGTTTGGCAGTTTCTGAAAATTTTAACCTTCAGAGTTACCATGTGATCCAGTAATTAAACTCCCAGGTTTATATCTAAGAGAGCTAAACACGTATGTCCATAAAAAGACTAATATATCAATGTTCATAGTAGTACTATTCTTAACAGTCAATAAAATAATCTAAATATCTATGAATTGATAGGGATAAATAAAATATCCCTATCAATTAGGGATACATCCACATATTAGAATTCTATTCAGGCCTAAAATCATGAACTAGGGGGCTGGGGATTTAGCTTAGCGGCATAAGCAGCTGCCTTGCAAGCAGGCGGTCGTGAGTTCAATCCCTGGTACCGATAAAAATGAAAAAGACAAAAAAAAAAAAAATCATGAACTACTAATTATACAACACAGATGGACCTCGAAAACATACTAGGAATCATATGCAAAATCCTATACATTATATGATTTCATTTATATGAGAAGTTCACAGAACTCAAAACTATAAAGATAGCATCCCTAGTTAGGAAAGAGATTATGCTTGTACCTTTATAAGAAAACATTTTAAATTGTCTATTTTAGGAAGTCACCTGTCCACTAGGAAACATCTGTCATTCTAAATATTTTAAAGACATGTATGACTTAACACTTTCACAACAGGGCCACAATTTGCACATCTTGCAGCTGGGCAGGTTGACTGAATGGTTCAAGCTCATAGGAATGTATTAAGTACCCCACAAACCTATTCCTTTTACAGTATACCCAGAGAAACACTATGTGATATTAAAGACATTGATCTGAAAGTTCCTTCTTTATAACATAAAAAACTGAAGACTTACCAAATCAGTTTCTTTTTTTCTTCTTTTCTTTCTTTCAGTTTTTGGCACCTGGTAGGGGTAAGGAAAAATAAAGAAACTGAAACAACAAAGACATCTTTTCTTACTTCCTTGCAAATGTTATTTGCTCAACAGGTAATAAACAAATCCTTATTTTTTAAAAGGTACTGTACAGTGCTATAAAATCCAGAAAATGAAAAGATATAGACATACTTTTGAAATCTCAGTTCTTTCCAGAAGTCACACCATTATTAATGTAAATGACTATTCTAACCGTTATTCATTTTAAAGATTTTACTTCCTACTTTTGTATTTGGAAAACTACTACAGAGCTAAACATCAAAAGGTATTACTTGAGACACAAGAAAGCGCTGACATTTCCTGATGACTGCAGTACAGAAAAACCTGAACATACTCTTTAAAACTTATAAACATAGGTAACAGATGAAGAATGATCAAAATATATGGTGAACATTTAAAATTTTTAAAAAATCATTACAGTAAAATATACATTGCTGTCAATCTTCCCTCAAAATATACTGCCTCATTTTCAACTCATCCCACTGTTCTTTTCCACTTTTTGAAGTAGTCCAGAAGTTCTTTTTTGTGGGTGATTTAACATTCATTCATTCATTCATTCATTTATTTGAGACAGGATTTTGCTATGCCATTCAGGTTGGCCTTAAACTCTTAGTGATCCTCCTGCTTTGGCCTCTCAAATACTGGGATTATAGGCATGCACCACTACTCCCAGCTTGAGAGTGACTTTAGGATATGTGATATGTAAATGTTGTGCCATTTCACAGAAAGGCAGGCCGGTAAAAAAAATTACAACGCGCACTCATCTACCTTTTTTCACTGCATCTGGCATCATGGCTTGCTCTTCCCCAAAGTCAAAATGAGCATGAAAAGCAAGCGTTTTTGACTGATTAGGTATTAAGGGAGCAATGACAATGTAACCAGAGACCGCCATGAAAGAGAACTTCAGAACTGCTCTGGAAAAGGGAAAAGTTGGCGGGATAGTGTGCTCCAAGGAAAGAGGAATATTTTGAGGTCAATAGTTATATATTTGTAATATACTTTTAAACATTTACGGTATCTTTTGATTATGAGCTCAAATCTTTTGTATCAAATAACAGCCGTAAGCTAAAACACATGTTTTCCTGAAACCTTATACAAAAAGAAGTGTAATTTTTGAGATCTTAGGTAAAGACTACAATGAGAAAATTTTTTCCCTCAGTACCAGGAATTGAACTCAGGACCCTGCATTTGCCAACCAGGCACTTGTGCCACTGAGCTATATCCCTAACAATGAGAAACATTTTTAACCAATGTTTTTCAAAGGAAATTTAGGTACTGATCTGTATTAAAGCTGAAGAGTACAATCTTGAGGGTAAAACCTTATGTATTTAACTCAGTGAAGAATGTACTCATTGCAGAGAATTTAGAAAAATATGATCTCACTAACTGCATTGGTGATGCACCGTGTAATGCTAGTACTCTGGGAGGCTGAGACAGGCAAGTTGTAAGTTTAAGTACAGTTTGGGCAACAAGTAACTTACCAAGACCCTCTCTCAGAAAAAAATTTTCAAAACAGAAGGATGGGAGCCGTAACTCAGTGCAAAGGCCCTGAGTTCAATCTCTAGTACAACAAAAACACCACCACCACCAGAAAGAAAAAACTAGAAAATATGGTCTAACAAACTTGTAAGACAGAGAGGAGTTCTACAGTAATGCTAAGTTGATATGTTTTTCCTAAATATCAGATGACTTAAACAGAGTCTTAAAAAGAATTCATAACTGGATCTTTTTAGGCGTCAAAATATGTCACATTTACCTTTGTGGCTATGCTATCAGAAGTCTTGAATTCATTCATGTATTCATCTAGAAACACTTTAAAAGTGTTGACCCAAACTCTCACTGGAGATTCACTCCAATCACGCTGCTCAAGCCTCATGGTCTTTTCCAAAATCTGCTCAAATAGTGCATAGAGGTCTTTATATCGTATGCTTTTCCCATCATCCATCTAAAAAGAAATGAGCAATGTAAGACTTCATGAAAAATTCTTTAACACATTCATGACAGTCCACACATGTATGACTACACCATGTCACCAGATGGGACAGTCATGCATGTACCATTAGTAGTTCAAGCTGGTGGAAATGTCTTAAATATAGAAGTCTAAATAAACCTGTAATGAGTAATACTGTAGTTAGAATGAAGATTAATCTCCTGACATACTTTCTAAAAACCATGGTCATGGGGTCACATGGCATATGAAACTCCTATCCAGTAAAGAGCCAGAACCAGAATAAAACCTAAGTTTTTGAAAAGGCCTAGCAGTTTAAACAATGAAATAACTGAGTAAGTCTCAGGAACTGTTCCCTTAAGTCTGGCTTTCCAATTTTATGTAACTGTAAAATTGTAGAAGCAGTTGCTATCTCTTTTAATTATTAATTTCCACATAAATGACCTTGTTTATACAGTTCTACTCTAAAATAAAAAGACTATCAGATAGCCTTTAACTTATTTTTCTGAAGAAGACTGATACGCTCAGAAAGACACTATATTATTTGTGAAGGAATCAAATAGAATTCCTTTTTATTCATTTAAACAAAAAGTAGAATTCTATAAGGAAAAAAAGCCTTTTCTGATCAGAAAGTACTACATACATTTAAAATTTATTTTCTTTAGACTTTTTTGATGGTGTTTTGAACTTTTTTTGATAGTGTTAAAAAAAAATCAACTGTTTAGTACTGTTTTACACATGATGTCCATTCCTGTGTAATTCAGTGCACACTAGAGTACCCAATACTCCTAATAATAAGTATGAAGGAATTACAGGTATGAAGCTGAAAAAGACATCAAATTTTTAAGTATCTGGGCAGGATTAGAAAAAAGTGGACAATCTTCTTCCTCCTCAAACCTAGTTAATTTTTTTATAAGTTGGGGACTTTTATTAGTCTTTTTTGTGGGGGAGGAGTCTTTTTGAGACAAGGTTTCACCATGCAGTTCAGGCTGGCCTTGAACTCACACTGTAACCCAAGCTGGCCTCTACCTCACAGCAATTCTCCTGTCTCCTGAGTGCTAGGATTACAGACATGTGCCACCACACCCAGTTATTACAGTCTTACATTTCCTGCTTGTTTTGGCTGTATAATTTCCTGTTTTCAGCAGCAAAAATCTTATGTTGAAAAAAGTACCAAAGTGAAGTATAAACTAACAAGTGTTCCTGATATCCCTTTTCACAGTGAATACAAGAGACTGAACAAAAGCAAAAGTGCAGAAGTTATGAATTACTATTTTAAAAATATAATTGTTAAACACTAATGAGTCAATAGACCAAAACATGTATTATACACATTAGCAACAAAATTTAATTTTCTAAAATGTAACAAATATCCTGTAAAAAGTATAAGGTAAATTTGAAAATGGCATAAAATGCTATACAGAAATCAATAAACACATATTGCCCTAATTCCACTAGGGAAAAATATATAATACATTTTACAAAGCGGAAAAATTACAAGTTATAGCTTTTGACAGAGCTAAAAGGATAATGACAGGTCAAAATGAGAGTAGGGAAAACTACTCAAAGGAACTTAAGAACACTATTAATCTGAGGCCATTCACTCTTCTTGTCTTTAACTTTTTGTCTTATCTCTAAAACAAACAAAAAAAACCCCTTGAAATTCTCTAGTTAAATGTAGTATCTTCTAGAGTATCACCAAATTTTTCATGTGGTTAACTACTGAAAATCTCCTAACATACTCAAACTTACCGCCAATGCAGATGAATAAAAGCTGAAGATATTCTGCCGAAATTCTTTCAGGGCTTTTTTAAACACAACATCTACTAGTGTATCCTTCTTGCTGTCATCATTATCTAGGTCATTCATCTAGGAACCACCGAAAGAATTGCACACAATTAATTAAAAAGAGGCAATTATAAGAGGGCCAAGAGATGGAAGATGGAAGTGGGAAGGGGACATAAAAAGAATTAAGATGTGTTATGTACATGTACCAACTTTCCACAATGAATGTAATAAAGTACAGCAAACATGCACTAATAAAAATAAAAAGTTTTAAAGAAGCTGGGTATGGTGGCACATGCCTATAATCTCAGTACTTGGGAGGCTGATACAGGAGGATTGCTGCGAGTTTGGGGCCAGCCTGGGCTATGTAGTGTGAGTTCAAGGCCAGTATGAGACCCAAAGTGAGGCCTTGTCACAAATGTTTTATTTTTAAAAAAAGAGGCAAATACAATAGCAAATGTAATAGTGGAAACATTATCATCTCTTCAATAATGATTACTCTAAAAGAACAAACCACAGGCTATGAGACAAAGGTAAAAGTATAAATATACAACCAAATACCAGATGATTTCTAGGATGCCTTTCAATATTGTATGATTCTATAGCTTGGTTACCAAGAAAACAATTCCAAATGTGTAAAAAGAATCCTCACCTCCACATGTGAAACGTAATGTGCCAATTATAGTAAAGTAGAAGTCAATCGTAAACCCCAAAACCTCACATCCTATCTATCCAGTCTAATTCATATTGTATTATTTACATCATACAGGTAAAGAACAGACCCTCTAACATACTAGAGTATATACAACTGTTATCTCTGGGCATCAAATTCTGTTACATATAAGCATTCTACAGCTAAAGGTACTCAGAGGGTTAACTTAGCAAACAAAATGTACCTTTTTCAAAAGAAATTCATCCATGCTTTTTAAATCACTGGCACTTGCTATGATTTGGACAGAGTCATTTTGCCAGTGTATGGAATCCACAGCCACATTGCTGATCTTCACACTTCGCCTGCGTCTGACTTTTGGAGAAGGTTCCTTGTTTTCTTTGAACTCCTTCTGGCAACTGCCAGGCAGTTCTGGGCTCAAAGGAGGTGTTGGATGATACTGAGGTAATTCTATAACTAAAGACAGGATAGCCCAAAAGATATAGTTAGTAAAATATACCCATATCATTTTAAGTTCCATCAGTAAATCACTGAAAGAAACAAATACTTTTTATCTGAAAAGGCAAATATGTTATCTGAAAAGCAAAGTAGTATCTGAAATCAGACACATAGGCAATAAATCCAGATTGCAAAATTGTACAGAAATATATTTAAGAATTAACACTTTTTAGTGAGAAATGCCATCATATCTCCTAGAGTTGAAGTTTAATACTGAAAACCCAGATGAAAGTGCCTTGTAGAACTTCAACCTAGACCTCAAAATCTCAGTTCCACACAAGCATTTTACCACTGTTAATCCAGTCAAAACTTTATTATACCTGTTTAAAAGAACAGCTATCTATCTACAAGTCACTAACAAATGAAGAGAGTTTGGTAATTATTCGTATTTACTATAGTCTACAACCATGAATACTTTGCTGACAGTATCTGGTGACAGCTCACAACCTGGCTTACTTTTGAGTATCATTATATTTAGGATTTTCTTATACAACCCCCAAATGACTATCTGAATTTATAACAGAATTCCTGGAATGAACTGGCTTTGTATACTACATTAGAACATACCATTTCCCCCTGCAATTCTTTACCACAGAAATGAGATTCCATGTAATACATTACAATCTAGAACTAAATGAGACTTGTAAAGCTCCATCTGAAGTCTCATGAGAACATTGGCCACTTTTGTTGTTGTTGTTTTGTTTTATTGTATTTTTTTGAGACAGGGTCTCACTATGCAGTTCAGGTTGGCCTTGAGCTCACTTTATAGTCCAGGCTGTTCTCGAACTTGTGATGATCCTCTTGCTTCAGACTCTCAAGTGCTAGGATTACAGGCATGTACCAGCATGCCCAGCTAACAATGGCCACTTTTATGTGTGCTTATTTAACACATCTGTTTGTATGCTCTTTACCTTCTGTCCATCTAAAAGATAATTTTGGAAATGAAACAAAAAGTAGTCCCCTATATACTAAATGTCACTTTGGGCAGGGACTGAGATAAACACAATCTCAGATATGACACCAGAATAAAGAATATAAAGATACAAGTATATTTAAATCAGTATCAACTGCTCTAAATTTTATTACATAACACACTATATATTTAGTTACTTAATTTTGCTGTCAGCTCCTTTCTAGTGTTCTACAGCAACATTATAACCTCAATTTACCATTAAAAACCAGGACTTTCTTAGTAAATTTTTATCTGAATTTAAGTAAAAAGCTATACTTTTATAAGGTGCCCTTATAACGCAAACCTACAATGAAATCTGCTTATATTTTCAAGTAAAGAACTGCTTGGGAATTAGCACCAAAAAGAATTGTGAAAAAATGAAAATTCTGAATAATTACTATCAATCTGATAAGATATTAGGAATACAATGCACTGGTAAGGAATTACGTTTTCCAAACTAAACTTGCAGTATCCATTTAATAAACTGTTTTTCTCCATCTCAGTTTGTCAGCTGATAGAAACAAAGTCCCAAGACACAAAAGAGGGGTCCACATTTCTGCCACTCTTTCAGAGCCAAGATGCTCTCCAGCCTATCCATTCCTATGTGAAGCTTGATGATCCTTCCTCCTTGTCCTGTATTTTATTCTAGATATGAAAAGTTTTTGCTTCATACTGCTAGTAGGTCAGTTTTATCTCTCTGAGATAACAGTTGCCTCCTAGAACCTCTTTCTATTTTAGTCAGTGCTGGCATTTTCCCACTCATAACCATGTACCCATTTCTGACCTATACATATGTTATGACATTTACATGGTAGCTAAAAACTCTCAAGTCATGCTGAAAAAGAAAAAAAAAACTTCAGAAAAATGAGTAATCCAATACGGGGATTTCTGGAATTCTTCGGAATCAATAACTGTGGGTACTTTCAAGTATGTTCTTGTTCATGGCCCCAAAATAACAGCTATATGATAAAGTGCCAGGCATCTATAAGAAAATAGCATAGACAGGAACCTAATATAGTATTGCTCAAAAATATGGACTCTGGAGCTGGAATCCTTTATCATTTGTAAACCTGGAATAATAATCATATCTACCCTGGAAAAACTGTAACATGTTTAGTACAGTTCCTTGCATATAATAAACAATTTATTAGCTAGATGAATGATGGCTAAATTTTCACAGTTTAGAAACTAAGTCTTGCTTAAGATTCACAACCATTCTTATAGTGACTGTTACTTCATTATTTTATGCCACATATTCTTGGAGCTTTGAATACAGTTATATAACTTTATCAATTAAGGAAGCATTTAACAATCCTGGTTCTGTCTTATATTAGAATACTTAGCTAACAGAAATGCTATTGTGAATACTAAAGAAATAGTAAACTTTCAGAAGGAAAACACAGAAATTATAAAGACAAATTCCCCACTTTGTCTACTTTTACCTTCTGGAAACTGATGAGCTGGAATCACATCTGAGCCAGCAAAGAGTGGAAAAACCTCTGACTGGGTGGCAGGTTTTACTCTCGTAGACTTCTTGTCTCCCTGTTTCCCTTTGGCCCAGAATCTCATCCTAGCTCTCTGAGGCCTACAAAAAAAAAGAAGAAAGATGAGAGAGACAGAGAGAGAGAGACAGAGAGACAGACAGACAGAGAGAGAGAGACAGAGACACAGAGAGACAGACAGAGATAGAGAGACAGAGAGTTTTACAGGTAGAACATCCATAATCCCCAAAATATGAAATCCCAAATATTCTACAATACAAAACTTTTTGAGTGCTAATACAATACCACATGTGGAAAACTCCACATTTGACCTTAAATGACAAGTGAAAGTCCAGGGATGCTAAAAATACTGTACTAAATCACCTATAGGTATATAAGATGTGTATGAAACAAATGAATTTCATGTTTAGACTTGAGTCTTAGTCTCAAAACATATATACACAAATGTTCCAAAATTTGAAAAATCTGAAATTGAAACACTGCTGATTCTAAGCATTTTTAAAGAGATTCTCAAACTGTACTATAACTGAAAGACTGAAGGCTTAACAACAGGTTACACAGCCAGTAAGTGACAAACCTGAGAATCATACCTACTGTATTGCCTCTTCTCAGTGTTTACATAATGTCCTTCATCATAGTCAGGTACCATCAAGTCAGGTACCTTGAGATAATAACAACTTACATTTACTGAATACAGGTTGTGCACTCTTAACGTTGCAATAGGATACTTATTTGTGCATTGATTTGTGAATAAGGGCATTAAAATGCAATTTTAAAAACTTGAGCATCTATTAGGAGACATATATTATGCCTTATAAACAACATTTCTAATTTTTGTAACTCCTGTGATAAAGTATTATTATCTGTATTTTTCATAATGGAGGCTTGGAGAGCTGAAGGAGACAGAGGTTAAAATCAAGTCTACCTGGCTCTGCAGCCCATGCTTGCTCCTCCCCTCCCTCTCTTCCTCCTTTGGTCTCAGAATTTCTCTCTTTTCCTCCCTCCCACTCCTTTTATAAAACACTTATTACTAAACTTACATATTTTTATCTTCTAAAGTGAAACAATCCTGAGGCTTATTATATACACAGCATTTTTCTGTCACTCTTACCCCATTTCCTTCTACTTTGAGGCAACCCTCCTGAACGAATACAACTGATTCTTCTGATATTTAATATGCTCCTATTTCCATCATATCATGACTTGCTTCCTGTCTTCACCACAAATACTGTAATTTTAGCTAGCTCAATATTACATTATTACAATGTATTACAATAATACATTACAGTATTACATTTTTTGCCACATAAATAATATTCACAGTTGAGGTGTAATCTATTTTATTCTAGCAGGGTGTAGGCTCATGAAAACTGTATTTACACTTCCTCACTTTTCTGCATGCAACTGACCTCTAAGTGTTTCCTTACTGTGTACATACCTCACTTTTCATTATGTGGAAACATAATGGAAACTCCAGTAGTTTTGTCTTCTTGGAGAAATCCCTCCCAAGAGTTTTCTGACCTACCCCAACCTGGAGGGGCTTTCCTTGTTGCTTCCTGTGCTGCTGTTATGTGAAAAGATACTTTCATATCATCATCACATTGGAGATTCTTTTTTCCCTTGTTTTATAATGTTTTTTGATGCATCTATTTTCATTCATTATGTTGGGTACTCAGTGGGTCCCTCTAGTCCAGAAAGTCATGTCCTTCAGTTTTATGAAATTTAGTTGAATTACTTTATTAACAGTAAATCGCTCTTCACCATTTTTTCAGTTCTGTCTCTCCAGAATTCCAATCATTGAGTCATTGGATCTAATGAATCTTTTTGCTCAACCTCTTGAGATATATTTTCTGCTTTCAATTTGTTCTGAGTTCAACCTTTATACTATTGTATTTTTAATTTGCAAAAGCTTTTTATCATGAATGCTTCACTTTCATGTGCCTTGACTGATGTCTTGGATGTAATCTATATTTATTTTGCAGAAGTACCACTGGGACTTGTATTCATCACTCTTGAAGTTTTTTATACTTCGATTAGTGTATCTTTTCCAACTTATATTTTATCTATCTATCTACCTATCAATTTTGTTTTGTTATGTTCCTTTTCTTTCTGCTGGGGAGTAAATACAGGATCTTGGACATGCTAGACAAGCACCCTACAGACTGAGCTACATTCCCAACTCTTTTTAAAATTTTGAGACAGTGTCTTACTAAACTGCTCAGGTTGGCCTTAAATGTACGATCCTCTTGTCTCAGCCTATTGAGTAGCCAGGATTACAAGGTGCGTATCACCATGCCAGGCTGGTTTCTTTAATATATTTCTGCACATGTAGATAATTACTACTATCTAGTTAGATTAAAAGAAAGATTTTAAAATGTTGCTTACAGACTGGAGATATAGTTCAGTGCCACAGGGTTTGCCTTGCACACATTAGGTCCTTGCTTCTTTTGTTCTTTGGTTTTTCTCTTGTGTGTCATCGCCACTTTGCCCCCAGTGCTGCTTGGAAGCTCTAGTGTGTGTTAGTGGGTTTCTCCACTACTGTCTTCTTATAGTCAATTTTGTAGGAAGAGTGCCTAATAGCAACTTGCTTCAGGGGAGGACAAAAGTTCTGAGACTGAATCATAGCTTTAGAGGATAAGGGGAATGTAGAAATTGAGAAAAAAAAGTTGAGCGACCTTTACATTCAGTGTGCAAGAAGTTACTAAATCCCCTTGTCCAAATGTGTGCCTCATTTTTAATGAGGTTTGGTAAACTTTAAGCCAGAGATGTTTTATCTTGACAATATACTTCTTATGTTTTACTAGGAATGGGTTGATAAGCTAGATGTTTCTTTCTCCATTTTAGACATTAAGATTCAATTTCTTGGGGCTGGGGATTTAGCTCAGCAGCATAAGCGCCTGTCTTGTAAGCAGGCAGTTGTGAGTTCGATCCCTGGTACTGATAAAAACGAAAAAGACCAAAAAAAAAAAAAAAAAAGGTTCAATTTCTCCTATATATTAAGATATTTACATTTCTGATTTTATTATCTTTTATCTTTTATGGGTTTGGTCATTTTAGGAATGGAAGAAGGCAATGGGGAAGGAAACAGAAATTAAATGCATGTATTTAATCTGCTATCTCCAGATACACGTTCTTTCTACTGTATTATATAGTATCTTATTTCTCAATTTTTGCTTTCTAGTATAACCTCTGAATTTGCCTCTAATGTCAGTGAGAAAGTAATCTATGACAGAATTACAAAGCAGAAAAGTTCAATGTGGTCTTGAAGTTGTCAGTGAAGACCCTAATGCTTATATAATACAATTACAAAAATATCTCTTTTAAAACCAACAAGTCTACAAGCTCTTTTTAAAAGAAATATTTCCTGAAAGTCTTTTTTCTAAAACACTTAAACAAAATTGAACTCCACAACTGGAACATACTTCCAATCTTTCCCCTGGTCTAATCTCTCTTGTTTTATAACAAAAACTCCACAAATCATATAAAGATTTATAAACTTCCTCCCAGCATGCTGCTAAACTTACAGGAAAGGAAAGCTCATAACACATTTGAACTTCTAGTGTTTGTCATTACTGGTGATTTTATTCTTGAAAAACTAGTAAGTGAATTTAATTCAAAGCTCAGTATGTAGTCAATTTTAAATAAAATTTTACTATCCCATTAATTCTGTGCATACATTTTACCTGATATCTGAATCTGAAGACTTCTGTCTCACCACCAACTTTGTAATCTCTCCTTGAGACATAGTCTTATGAATCTTTGCCCGTTCATCAAGTGAAGAAAACCGCTGTGATGTCTGTAATAATTACATAAGTAAGAAACTTTAAAACCAAGTGAATATATGACAACACTATAAAATTTGGGCACAGAACAATTTGAGAATTATAGTTGTCAAAAAATATTAAAAAATATACTTATGTTCTTCAGGGAATTATTGAAATACTACAATCTACTGTAAAATCTTAACTTCCTTAAGTAATTAGAAATGTGGAGAACATGGGTCAATGAAAATGACCACAATATTTTTGACAACATGAGAAAAAATGTCACATGGAAAGTTAACAAAAGTCAAGACCATTTAAAGATATATATAAGGTCCAGGATCTGATAATTTTAGAAAACAAAATACTTTCATACCTCTTTTTATTTCTATCAAGAAGTACAATAATTTCTATGGCTTAGCTATTACAGATTTCTATTACAGCCAGTTAAAATTTAAAAGATCGGGGCTGGGAATTTAGCTCAGCGGCATAAGTGCCTGCCTTGCAAGCAGGCAGTTGTGAATTCGATCCCTGGTACCGATAAAAAAGGAAAAAGACAAAAGAAAAAAAAAAATTTAAAAGATCTAAAATACACAGGAGAAAAGCCAAAGAACCAGAGGATCATTATCATCACTAATGTTTTAAATTATAAATAATTTACAAAACTATCAAAGTAGGATCTGAATAGCAATCAACAAATTTTTTCTTTTGTTTATAATGTGCCCCTCTGAAGACAGTCCTACTTTGAGGAAAGAATTGTTAGTTATTCAAGAATACTGGCTAATATTTCACTTTTCTATAGTTAACATATCCTTTCTTTAGCTCTTTCTGCTTGTCTATTGCTTTATCATCAGAAACACAAAATATCCTGAATATAAAAATTTAAAGAGCATAGTGCTTTGGGCTAAGATGGAGTAACAGTATCTTCTTGTCTAAAAAAAAAAAAAACAGAAAAGAAATTTAATAAGATAGAGAATTTTTAAGACAACAGATGAGAGACAAAAGTGAGTCCTCTGTCTCCTACAGCTATGGCACATAGACAGAAACCTACTTGACCTTTGCCACATATCCAGAATTTAGCATGCAAACCTAAATGTCTGAAGTGATCAAGGTAACTTGAGAACAAAATACAAAATACTGGGGAGAAATGAGATGCATACAAAAACAGAACTCTGGCGACCTACAGAAGGTTGCCATGATGCAGTTTAATCGATACTTCTGTATATGAAAAACAAAGGAAAGGACCATGTGAAAATTTTATATACAATAGCATCCTTCACTCACAAAAGGTCAGTAACAGTGGCCTGTGCCCAAGAACCAGGGTACATTATGATGCTCAAGGAACTAGTAAAAGTACACACAGAATCTAATCTCAACAGTACAAATAGCACTAAAATGAGTATTGAGACTTCTTATCTTGAAACAAAGACCTAATAGGATCAAACTACTTCCAGAACAAAGCTCTTAAATACTAATGCAAAATATGTTTAAAGAATATTAATTGAACACAAAAATATCCAGCAATAAGGTAAAATTCATAATGTCAAGTTACAATAAAAAAACAGCTGGGCATAGTTACTTATGCTTGTGATCTCAGCACTTTGGGAGCCTGAGGCAGGAAGATTGCAAATTCAAGCCCACTCTAGGTAACTTAGCAAGACTGTCAAAATCTAAAATGATAATAATAAAAAAAGAGTTGGAGCTGTAGCTTAGTGCAAAGTTCCCAAGTTCAAATCCTAGTACTGAAAAGAAGAAAAAGCATACAAAGAGGAATACATGATTCATAATGAAGAGACACTGATGAAAATAGGTACAGAAGGACCTTACCTCAAACTGATAGAAGCCACACGAAATAAACTCATGGTCAATGTTACACTGGATGGGGAAACTGAGAGCCCGTCCTCTAAAATCAGGAATGAGACAAGGTGTCCAGTCTCAAGACTCCTATATAAACAGTACTTGAAACTTTAGCCAGCCCAATCAAGCAAGAGAAAGAAATAAAAGGGATGCAAAAAAATATGAAAGAAAAAACTTACACCCACCTGCAGACAATATTCTTTACCTAGAAGACCCAAAGAATTTTACCAGAGTCCTTTAGAGCTGATAAAACAAATATAGGAAACGATACTAAATAATATACAGTGGTACCTCAGTTCACATAATCCCAGAATACTCTCTCAAAGACCTCTGTAAGTTTTTGCATAGAACATGGACAGTCTAAGAAGTTCCATGCAAAATGCAGAGTTAAGCAAGCAATGGATTTAGGGCTAATCTAAAATAACTGCCAAATAAAATAAAATAAAATAAAATAACTGCCAAAGAGAATATGTCCATCTTAAGTGTGAAAACATAAAAGATTACTAGTGGATTAGAGAAGTGACCTCATGAAAGCACTTAAAATGCATAGGAATATTTTTAAAGGAATTGCTTCTGGGTCAAAAAGTATAAAAGGAGAAAGAGATGCCTTTTAGAGAGAAAAGCAGGCAGAAAGTCAGAATACAAGAGGCAAAAGAAAAAGAGAAAAACAGGAGGACATGTACATGGCTTCCCCTCCTCACTAAACAGGCTGTCCACAAAGAAACTACTGTATCACACTAACAGAGGAAGGAGTTCTCCGAATTGATCATTTTGTAAACTAAACCAAATATACATCTATAAAGTAAATACACAAAATCTATACTCAAAGGTATATGAAAACCAATTTAAAGAATCTCAAACAAGAAATCAACTTAATTTTATCTTTCCACCAAAAAACAAAAGAAAATCTGGAAAAGTGTGAAGTGTGAAAAGATCATAGCAATCTCTACATGTATGTATAGGAAATATCTCTTGCATCAGAAATTCAAAACTTAAAACCAGAAATAAAACAAAACCCAAAAGGTCAAAAACTCAAACCTAGGAGAAAGAGTTGACTGACCTCAAGAAAGAAATAAAAGTATAAAATTAACTATTAAATGAAGATTCACAAGGTACCCAAAAAAGAAAAGCACAAACGAAAAATGAAAAAGAATTAAGCAAAGGCAGGAAAACATTAAAAAGAATATAAAATAAAGAAAGAAAAATAGGTCACAATGTAGTTGAAGTGGCAGGCAAAAAAAAATTGAGGTTCTTAAGGAATACAAAATGATGGAATATAACAAATATGTAAAACTGCAATTAATGAAGAATTTTCAGGGCCAGGATTATAGCTCAGCAGCACAAATGCCTGCCTGGCAAGCACAAGGTCATGAGTTTGATCCCTGGTACCAAATAAATAAAAAACAAACAATTTTCAGTAAGCTTGATAAGACCAGAATTTACACACTGAAAGAATGCAGGAGATATATGATATCACTAACCTGTAACAACCATACCCTAGACATGAAACATATTCTAGCTATGAAACAAAGGAAAAATTCTAAAGGTCTATAATCTAAAAGAGCAAATAACTTGCACAAAAGAATTAGATTTAACAAGAATAACATTTAAGTGTGAATAAAGGATTTTGTATATACCCAACATATGCCTTCAAGTATCAAAAAAACTACAGGAAGACCTCGGGAAATTCTACGAGCCTTTTCTGACTCTACTATGGGAACAGCTTCATCTGATCAAGATGAACAGGGAAACTTCAGCAAATTAATATATGAAGAAGCAGACACGAGATGAAAATAATGGTGGGAGTTATGGTGAAAGAATCATTTGATATTCTTTAGACTGGTTTTCTTGTCTCTTTGTGTTTAGATTTTAAATGATTACTTTATGCATGTTGTATATTTGGGTTGTATAAACCAGAAAGAAAAGCCTAAAAACAAAAAGTATAAAGGAGAGGGAAAATAGGAGAATACAATAATTCATTGACAGTTACGTCACAACAAGTGAGAATTAGATTAGAAGTTAATCATTAAAAATTGACTAGCCAGAGAAAAAGTTATTAGATAAAATGAAAAGCTGACAATTGGCATTTTTAAAATTACACATAAAGATAAGCAACCAATAGAAAAAACAGAAACTAGAAGAAAAAAGAAAATGCATATGACATAAATGTAGCAAATACCATGTAAATTACATAAAACAAGAAGTTGTAATTAAATCTATCAGTTATACCAGTAAATATAACTAGGTATAACTGACTTATTATAAGAAAAATGTTTTGATTTGATACCTAAAACAAAAGTGATCCAGAAAGGCCAAAATAAAAGAGATAAACAAAAAGATACTAGGTAAATGAAAATAATACAAGAGGGGGAATGGTAACAGAATGAAAACAAAAAAACATTAAATGTGAAAAAGGATGCGTTCTAATCCTAAAAGCCATAATTGACAAAGAATAAAACATACCATTATCTGGATTGGTATATCAAAAATAATGAGGCTATAGAAGATAAAGATGATAAGAGATTATGAATATCTGCTGAAACTTTTATTGTGAGTAAAGAATACACATTCTTAAATGAATGTCACAATAATCACATACTAGGTACAAAATATCAGCAAACTATATCTTCCAGAAGTATTACAGCTGATTTAATACAAAAATAGAAATTCCCAACATTTTAAAAATGCCGTTCCTCTAAAAACTAAAATATTTTTTCATAATCAAGTCTTGTGTATCATACATATAAGAACATTAAAAACTGTAGGAATACAGTAAAAAAGCTATGTATCTATGAGATACATCTGAGGGATGATCAAGGGAAAAATCATTGATTTAAAAACCCACATAAATAAGATAGAATAAAACAAATTTAAATTGCCAACTCGAAATCTAGAAAATGGCCAGGCATGGTGGTGCATGCCTGTAACCCCAGCATTCAGGAGGCTGAAGCAGGAGGATTCTCGTGAGTTCAAGGCAGCCTGGGCTAGTGAGTTTTGGGCCAGCCTACACTACTAATGGAGCCCTGACTCAGTCAAAACAAACCAAAGCAAACCAAAGCAAACCAAACCAAACCAAACCAACACCACCTAGAAAAATGAGAAAGTGAACTAAAAACAAAACAAAACAAAACACCAAATCGGGGGGGAACCAAAACCAAACCAACAGGAAACAAATGAAATAGAGAATGGAAAACACAGGCACAATAAATCAAGGAACATCTTACAGTTTTGGATAAAATTAGACCAATGACTACTAACATATAAAAGAAAATATAAATCTACAAAGTAAAAAAATGACAAAGAAATAATCTCTGAAAGAGAAATTTTAAAAACTAAAACCTCTTTAACAACTGCTTTCTATACTTCTATGCAAATAAATTTGAAAAGTTACAGGAAATGGATGATTTCAAAACAAAATGATTTACCAAAATGGATCCCATTAGATTAAAAGCTTAAAAAGACTAATTTCCCTGAAACAAACAAACAAAAAAATTAAGGAATACACTGCAAAAAAGCACTAACCTCAGATCATTTGACAATGAAATTATATCAAATCTTTAAAGAACAGATAGCTGTAGTACTATATATAAAGTTGTTCCTAAGTTTTTAGGGGGAATACAATATATATGGAACCACCAAGTGCATATTCAACAGTGTGGCTGTCATCTTAGGGCTAACAATCCAAGAATCATAAATTGGTTGTTTAATCCACCCAGTTTTCCACTTTTGCGAAACCTTCAGAATCACCAAACTCAGGCTCCCCAAAATCAAATAAATGTCCTCTCCTCATTTCCCCCTTGTGAGATATTGCTAAGACATAATCAAGGTTGGTTTTCTTTTACAGTGAGATAAAATAATAAGCTGAGCTTTGCTGGATCCATAGGGTTTTCTAGCAGTCTTCAGTGGAGTGAACAGCACAGATAAAGAAAGCTCAACAAGGCAAGAATTGGACAGTGCATAACTCTGAGAATAACAAACACAAATAGTAATATAAGAGAAGTGAGACCAGTACTGGGAACAGGGATGGTGAGGTGTTTCTCTATGTTGGGGATAAAAATGAATGAAATTCTGGAGCCACTTGAGAGTCATCTCCACAAAGATTACTGCTTCAAGTTTGGCTTATGGTAGAAGAAACTATATAAAGAAAAGTATGTTTCCTTAAAGATATGATATAGGCTTTTACTAATGCAACTGCCATCTATCTAAAAGACTGAGAGACTTTACCTATGGAAGTCATCTTTAAAATTTTGGTTAACAGAACATGGTTTTGTTTGTTTTTTTTGAGACAGGGTCTCGCTATGCAGTTCAGGCTGGCCATGAGCTCACTTTATAGCCCTCGCTAGTCTCAATGATCCTCCTGCCTCAGCCTCCTGAATGCTGAGATTACAGGCATGTGTCACCACATTTTGCATCATATCGCTCTTCCAGGCCATAAGAACAGAGTGAGAGTAGCATGAGACTAAACAGTAACTTAAATGGCAGAGTTTGAAGTAGGAAGTTAAAACCCATAAAAGTCACACAAGGGAGGGAAACTACTACCTTGGCCTCCTCTTTTGCCCAGCAGTTAACAACTGTTTATTAATTAAGCAACTCAAAAATAACACTTATCTAAACCATTTCAAGTAATTCATTTGTAAAAGTCTTTATCCCAATAGATTAGATACTTTAAAACGAGAAAGTTTAGATTGTCATTTCTGCTAAGATTAATGGCACACTTCTTAGCAAGAATCAATGATAAGATTTAATCATCCAGGAAAAAGTTTTAAAAATCCACATGCAAAAGGATGATCTTGAGGCATTTACAGGTAAATTGAGGCTATTTGAGAGTCTATTCATAAGTGAATTAAATCAGATTCACATTTGTAAATATCGTATTGTCTCCCTAGTGTAAAAAATAATAAAAAACTGAAGGAGTAATAAGATCCAAAATGTACAACAGATATGGTAATAATGAAAGGGAAAGAAAGTGCTCAACAGGAAAGAACAACTTGTAGGTATACACGTGTAACTGTATGTATAAGTGTGCAAGACAGATAATCATATTACTAATTCTGAGTTCATCAAAAAGAAGTTTGTGCTATCATTGCTTGATTGTCTATTTTTATGCTTAGATTTTATAACTTGAACAACTACTTCTAAGACAACAATGTAATATATTAACTAGTGTTGATTTCTTACTGTTATTTTTATGAAACTACTATTTCTACCTTTTTTTGTTTTGCTTTTTAAAAATAAAAAATAACCCATGTGACACCTAAAATTAAATCGATTAAAAAAATCTGGATTTTGAGAATGTGAGAGATCCTACTTAGAAACAGTTTAAGTCTTCATCTTCACAACAGTTAATGTTACAACATGGTACATTTTCAAGATAAACAAATAGAAAACATTGTAAAATCATTCCTATCCTCCCCCTCCCCACCCCAATAAGCATCTAATAGCATATTCTAGAAAGCAAAGCTTGTTCATGCAAGTGTCCACCAGAAATAAGCACCACCACCTGCTTCTCAAGTAGCCAGTGACAAGAGAGAAGAGCAGTAAAGAATCTAAGAGTGACTAATACATTGTGCAGGGAAGTGTTCTACAGCTACCGCATGCAGTGGCTGTCAAGCAGGTGACAGAGGCTAGAACAACTCTTGACAGGAGCTGAATGCTCCAAAGCAGAAAGCCCGACTTCCTAGTTCATTTCAGCAAGAGTTCCAGTGTGAAAAAATTCTATCACCAAAAGGACTAGAGGTTGTTACAAAAGAAACTCAGGAACACAACAGCAGTCAGAAGTGCTAAGGTCTTCCATAGTTGAAAATATCCATACATTAGTGTTTTTCACCAATATTTGTTCCACTACAAAACTTTTTCACAATTAATTTAATCACTAATCACATAACAGAGTATGTTTATTTATGACTCTAATAAAAGGCACCTTCAAAATTGGTTTTGTGTATATAAAATTTTGTGTAATTATATATATACTGTATAATGTGTTTCCAATTTCTAAAATCCTGCAGTATAGCTCAGGTTAATGACTCATTTATTTAATCAGGGAACATTTCTCTGGTCTCACCCCCCCCCCCATGGAACATGAGTATTAATTATCATCTTAAAATTGGATCTACCTTTCAAAAATAAAAAGACAGTAAGGGTGTTCTGAAAATTAAGAAAAATTTTAACTGTATCTTCACAATTCAAACTTTAAGTTTTCAAAAATAAAACATTTAATGATCCAAAAATTATACATTTTTCCACCATACTTTAAAGAAAACTGTAGAGCCAACCTATGAATCTGCATGGAAATAAAACATACTTCAGTGATAATGTTTTAGTTTGTATTAGACATATGTTATTTTCTAGGATAATTCCAAAATAAAATTCTTTACCCTAATATATCTACAAATACACTTATACTCATCAAAACACATTTGTACCTAATTTTGGGTAAGATGATGATGAAGTTATATTCCAAGACTCATATAGTAAAGATTTACTCAAAGATGTGCCAATGTTGTAATCTGACACTAATACAACTTCACACTACCTGTGGCCTTCTGTCTGGTTAGATTCTCTTGGGAGTCACATTTTGCTCACAAAATTTTTTAAAAATCATGTTTATTTGATATTACTGAAAAATAGGGATGAGGAAGCAAATTTAAAGGCAAAAAATAAGTAACATTTCAGTTAAAAATCGACTGAATTATGTAACAGCCTATTTCCTAGGCCAGGGAGTAGTCAATTTACAGCACACTGTCTGTGTTGTTTTATTAGAACACAGTAATTTCTATTGCTCTTTTTTAAAAAACTTACTGTCTGGGGCTGCTTTCATATGATGATAGTTAAGATGGTTGTCAAATTAAGAGAATGTATCATCTACAAAGTCTAAAGTATTTATTATCTGGTCCTTTATGGGAAAAAGTAAGGGCCTCTACTCTATCATCTGAGATCACAGCATCAAAATTTCTACTACAGTGCTCAACTGCCTTAACTTTCCCTAGTTCATGACTTGATGTGTGATGCGGAGGTGCCCTTTACTTGAATCTTATTAACACTTAGCTTTATCTGCTGTGTTCCATGAGGTTTCCCATGTACAACATTAGATGGGAAGAAGCTGTGAAGGTTAGCTTTAGATTAGCAAAGACGATTTCCATCAGAATTGCTTGCTGTCTAGACATTTTTCTCATATTGCTGTAAAATTACCATTTCGGAGTCACTGTGAGAGGCCTGACCCAGGCTGGATGCAGACCCTAGCTCAGAGTGAGAAGCTTGGTCAAGGGAGAGGTGGGGCTCAATTATGTCATCGTAATCATCTTCCTCTGTGTCCCCCTCCCCATCGGCAAAAGTACCTCTAGTCAAGAAATCGGAGCGCGTCCGCGCCATTCGCGCTTTCTTTTTATGGGCTGGTCTGGCAACCTGCTTGACCAAATGATAAAACAAATAACACAACGTTTTGTTTTGGTTTTTGGAGATGATGCCAATGAAAAAGGACTCATGAATTTCTTGAAACATCCCTCCACCCCAACATGGCCTTTCCATTAATGGAAGTAACAACAGGGATGGTGAAAAGAAATCCATACAGATTACTCTGGACAAAGGGTAAGAAGGAAAGCTAAAAATCTATATCATGCTTTTTCACAGCCAAGTCAGTAACCCTTCCTTGCCATAACAGGTCACACCAAAGTCATCTCAATAAATTGTCTTTAATCCAAGCAACTTCTATTTTATAAACATAATTTGGATTTTAGGCATTACTCACTGCCTGGAGTATACCTTACTACTTTTAACAGGTTTAGCTCATGGCTTCTTTAACACTGGGAGTAGATAAGGTGTTAGGCCTACAAGAACAGTAATTTCCAAAATAATCTGCATCTACTTCACACAGAAGATGAACAGGTCCAATATTTACCTCTCGTTGACCAGGCCCAGCTAACTTCAGAGGTTTCCAAGTTGGTTCATCTTGTTTATGGACATGAGGATTTTTACTGCTTAATACTTCCTTGTTGACACTTTAAAACAATAAGATTATATTTCAGTTCTTTGCAGATATTCTATAGAAAATGAATATTATACCCAAGTATTATCAAGAATCTGCACAGATGACTGAATTCCTAGATGTTTTGCTTTGGTAATCACTGGGTATACTCCCTATGGTGACATATGTTTAAGAATAGTAGCAGCAGGGACCAGAAATACAGCTCAGCAGCAGTGTCTGCCTGGCAAGCACAAGATCCTAAGTTTGATTCCCAGTACCAAAAAAAAAAAAAAAAAAAAAAAAAAGAATAGTAGCAGCAAAAGTAGTTCAAAACCCTAAGTAGATCTGATTGTGAACAAAGGAAAGTATCATGTCCCCCAAACTTGTAGCTAGGTCTTATTAGGACTCTTTTAATCTAACAATAATATACCTGATAAGCAGCCATCTAAGGATGAGGACTTAACTTTTTTTTTTTTAACACTGAAATGGCTCCTGAGAGAAACTTCTTTGAACTAGAGATACAGCTCAGCGGTAGGACCCTAGGTTCAAGTGCATGAGGCTCTTCCTGGGTTGGAGCCTCAGTACTACAAAATCTAGTATTTAAAAAGTTGCCTCTGGGAAGTGTTTTTTTTTTTTTTTAAATTAAGTCAACTTTTTCTAAAATCTTTACAATTTGCATTTATTATCTTACTTCTAAAACCTGAAATTAGATAATAATAATGGCAGGAAAAGACATTTATCAAGATAAAAGAAGCATTAAAATCTAGTCATTAAAATCTCCACATTAATAGCTAGGCATGATGGCACACGCCTGTAATCCTAGGATTTGGGAGGCTGAGGCAGGAGAATATGCTGAGTTCAAGACCAGCCTGGGTTACAAACTGAACTTGAGGCCAGCCTGAACTGCACAGTGAGATCCTGTTTCAAAAAGACCACCAAAAAAAAAAAAAAAAAAAAATCTCATCATTAATATCATCTAATAATTAAAATCTCTTGCCAAATCCCTCTTGTCACAGCTGACCCTATTGGTCTATCTCCAAAGAGAAGGAGAACAACTAGTAAGACCTTTACCACCCAAAGTAGCTTTAAAAATCACAGTTATTTTAGATTTCTACAGATTTATATTTATTTTTGTTCTCACTGATTAAACAGGTGAAGATCACTGTGTATCCATCACCAATATGTTACAGAAAAAACACTAATCTAGTATTACTATCTAATTGAGAAATTCAAGTTCTAGTACCAATTACTTCTCTAAATATGTAACACTGAATCATTTTACCACTATGGACCCTAGTGATCTCATTTCTAGTATGTGAGAAACTGGACTAGATAATTCAGAAACACCAGCATGCACACACTTCACACTATTAAACTCAATCAGATTAACAGAAGATATATTTTTAAATTTTCTTACTGGTTTACATGCTACACAGAGCCTTTACTCTTCTGCGCAATCTCTAGGTTTAAGAAAGGGACTTCAAAGTGTCATTAAGTTTATCTGCATTTTCTAACAGTGTAGAAACCTTGAGTGGGAAAATAAAATGTTAAGAGTCTCCTGTCCATATTTGCAAAGGATTTCTATAAAATCTGTATGTAATTTAAGGCCTAAATGATTTAAATGGTGACTACTATAGGAGAGAAAAGTCTTTTTATTAACGTGAAATTTAGTATTTTTGCCCTAAGGTATAGTCAACAGTGATGTCTTCCACAGGCACTACAAGAGCACCAAATACAGACAATACAAGCATCTTAAATTTTATCCAACTTGTTATGGATCATTTTGAAAATGCTCTTCTGGGATGCTCAGTCCTGTGTTTAACACTGAATGAAAAGATTTTCTCATGACTACTGTGAGCTAAAAAAGATCTTAAAAGAACTTCTGCTTATGTAAGGTATCTAAAATAGCTGAGCTCTTAGAAAATAGAATAGTAGTTGCCAAGGGTTAAGGAGAAGGGAAAAGGCAGTTGTTTCACAGGTATATGGCTCAGTTACACAAAATGAAAAAGTTCTAGAGAGCTGCTGAACAACCATGTTAATAGAGTTAAAACTACTGTTGACTGTAACACTTAAAAATGGTAAAAGATGGTAAATTTACATCACACAAACACATCTGCCCATCTGCCACACCCACACATGTATAAAAAAATAATGAAGGCCATAAATAGACCAACAACTATGACAAACACATTTACTTCATTAAAGCCTGACACTGGCTGGCTTGGACAGCCACATTTCTTTCACGGTTCTAGAGTGATGTGCGCATGTGCTGATCTGCCCCTTGTACATTCTCTTTTTTTTTTCTTTCTTTCTTTTCATTTTTATCGGTACTGGGGATCGAACTCACGACCGACTGCTTGCAAGGCAGGAACTTATGCCGCTGAGCTAAATCCCCAGCCCCTGTACATTCTCCTTGACTTAATGGAGAAGAATCAAGAGCTCTGCTACCTGCGTTCAGAGAATCATAGGAGGTAACTATATCCAATTTCAAGTACTTGACAGAATCAATGCTTTGTTCTGTCTCTAAGAGTATTTTTACAAGAAGAAAATGGTTAATTTGAGCAGTATCCACACAAATAAGTGGAGCAGAAAAAGACACCATAAAAATACTCCAAAAACATGTCCATATATAGCTACAGGTAAACATTCTACTTACACAGGAATACTTGTATTGTCCTTTGATGTGAAGAAAATGGCCTTCGTACTTCTCTCTCTGGAAGGGTCTTCAGACTTGTGGTCATAAGACTGACCTGCTCTAAGGTGTTCTCGTTTTGAAATGTGATCATTAGAGAGTTTACAGGCAATATCCTGCTGGGTGCCTGTTCTTTCTGTCTTGGACAATTCCTTGGCATTACTAGACTGGCATGGGTTTCCTTTTCTTTCAAAGAAAATTGTGACTGAGCGGTCCGTCATGGGTAAATGAGCAGAGGGACTGTCCTTTGAGGCAAAAACAGCATCTCTTACAGTTACTGATGGGGATCCTAGTCCCCTGGGTTCTCCCTTGAATGGAGTACTTGGGAGAAATAGAGAGGATGGCCTCTCAGCTCTTGGCTTTGATTGACAGAATGATGGTGTCAGGGAAGACTCTCCAGCTCTTGGTTTTTCAATTGTCTTGAAGGCTTTGCGCTCTTTTTCTAGAATATCTGTTTGCTGTCGAATCTGTTCCATCATTTCTTTTTCATTTTGCTGCTGCAGCTGCTTTTGCCTTTCTTCCTTCTCTGTGTTTAGTTTTTCTAATTTCTTAAGCACATTATTAGAAGAATCCATATTCAAAGAAGGAACCACTTGGTCTCCTGAGAAGTGAGACATTCTTGCTTCTCTGCTGAAATCGAAAGTATGAGGTGTCCCTAGTGTATGGTTGTGTTCCAAATGTTTATTTCTTTGGACATGCTGGGAACTTGTTTTTAGGGTGTCTTGATGGGGAATATAAAAAAAAGTAGGCAAACTATTTGACATAGAAGAATCTCTCTGCTGTGTCCTACAGGTGATAGGTTCAGAACCACAGACCCACTTTTCCTGCATAGTCTCATTCTTTAAGGGCTCTGAGTCAGGGTATGCTCCCTTCTGAATCCATGCAGAGCTGGTCTCACTTGAGGCACTGAGGGAATTGTCCTGTGAATCAGATTTTACACTGAGAGACATATTTGGTGATGGCAAGTGTCCTTCATCTAAAACTATAGACTCTAGCTTGCTCTTCTGGCTGTCTTCACAGCTTAGAAGTTCCAAGCTTCCTTGAGAGCTTTCACTATCAGGGGTGTCCTGTGGAGACTGGAGGCCTTCAGGTATCAGTTCTGTAGACCATCTCCGTTCCTCTGAAGGAGACATACCACCAAGAGAACGAACTTTCAGCAGTTCCAAGCTAAATATAGCTTGCTCTAGCTCTCTCATTCTCCGGCTTTCTCTTTTGGCCCGCCCTACTTTTTTCTGGTGGAGATCTTCCAATGATTTGGGTCTTTCTCTGACAATCACCTCTTGCTGTAAGTCCATACCACTTTGGCTTCTGGTTCTCTCCTGCCTCTTGTCTAGAGATTCTTCTGAGCCCTCCATTGAACTGTCACAGCCAATGTGACTGCTATCCATCACAGATTTACTTTCCTCTATGGCTTTTACTCTGCTGTCAAAGGAACAATCCTCCCATTCTGAAGGGTCTGAACCCTGAATTTTCAGAGCTCTAAATGCCTTGACAGTCATTAATCCATGGTCTAGTTTTGTTTCTTTTAGCTTCTGTTCTTTTAAGGCTTTATATCTACATGAAAATAGATATAAATGAGTTATGGATACCTATGGATACACTGATTAGGAATTTAAAAAGAAATGGAAGGTCACAAACTTACTTTCTTGTTTTAAAGACAGTCTACTATGTTGTAATTGTTGAGGATGGCCTCAAACTCCGTACTTAATCAGTCAGTCAGCCCTCAGTAGCTGGAACTACTGGTATATGCCACTGCACCTAGCTTTTAACATTTTCATTTTATAATTCCTAAGCATTTCTTAACTTAATCATACCATTATAATCCTTCTGTTTCCATGATATAGAGGATATTTATTACGTGTATCAAATTTCTTTCTTTCATTTTTAGTTTTCTGAGACAGGATCTTGCTCCATAGATCAGGTGTGCCTTGAACTAACCATGTAGCTCAGGCTGGCTTCAAACTTGCAGTGATTCTCTCACCTCAGGCTCACAAGTGCTAGGATTATAAGTGTGTGTCATTTTGCCCAAGTATGCATATTATTTCGAACTGGGCATTCCAGTCAAAATGTCAACTATTTAAGAAGTAAAGCTCTCATTTTAATACTATCCTTACTTTAATACAGACCTTAAATATGAAATTAATGTTTCTAAAGGTAAAAAGCTGAATTCTGCTGGTATTCATGCCCACAAATCCCAACAGTTAAGAAGCAGGGGCAGGAGCACTGCTGCAAGTTCAAGGCCAGCCTGAGCTACACAATGAGACTCTGTCTCAAAAAATGAACAAACAAACAAACAAACAAACAAAAAAACCCAAAAAAGTTGAATACTTTCAGTTTTGTAAGATTAAATCTAATGTGAAAGTTCATTATTGCAGTTATAACCACAAGCTATGAGGAATTCCAATTCATTTTAATTCAATAGATACTTATTTAACTTACCCTGTAGCTCAGACCTTATACTTTAAAATTGGCAGAAGTATCATAGTGTAGTGAAGAAAACAAATTGTATATAACCAGTAATAGTACACAAAGTAGTTAGGAAGACAGGAGGAGTAATTACAGTAACAGAGATTACCTTTGTCTTGCTGCAAATCCTCTACATGTTGACTGTAAAAGGATAATTGCATTCCTTTGTTCTTGATAACGCTTACTTTCCTTGTAGCCTTTCCATCTTGCCTGTATGCAGGTAGCAGCCCTGTGCCTGTGCCTACAGAGGTTCCTCCATCTCTGCTGGATGACTATGACCGCAGCCCTTAGCTCCAAGTACCTTTGCCTCTCTAAGTGAGCACGCCAGGAAGCTTGGAGGAAAGTAGCTGCACTCTCCATGACAAAAGCAACCTTCTGCACAGCTGCAGCTCTGACTTGCTTCCCTTTTAGGTAATTCCTCCAGAATCTCTGGAAGACAAAAAACAACATGGGTAGTCACATTACCATATATTTGCACAGAAAAGGGGAAAAAAAGATGAATTTCTTACTTACAAGTCATGTAGCTAAGCAGCTAAACTGTCAGTGAATAAAAGATAAAAATTTTCCAGATATGTTTGGATAAGTAACTATTTCAAATAATATAACCTTCATCAAGTTAACTACATAACTTAAAAATTTTAGATACTTTCATGTCCTACAAATTCATTTCAACAAGTTATATTCTTTTTTGATACAATTTGCTCTAATAATATTAATGGGTGTAAGGCAACCAAAAGTCAATATACTACAGATTTTCTTACACAAACAAAAATGTCTTGTGGAGAATATCCAAGGATATAAAAAAACTGGGGGAATAACACATAAATGTGACATAAAGGGCCCATCATCCAATAAATGCTAATGTGCATGTAAGTCTCAAATGTCACTCAGCAAACTATTACATAAAAAGAACCACTCTACAAAAATTAAGATACATGACTCCTTGGCCCTGTTTAAACTTCAAAAAACATTGTAAATATAAATTCAATTTAAATTCAGTAAATCAATATTAACTGTCAACTATAATATGCTAGGTAATCTGTTGGGTGCTAGAACATATCAAAACTGAGTAGAATACTTTCCCATCTCTGGTGTTCACATTATTATTTAAAAGTTACACAGTGAAACTATTTCTAGTCATTGAACAAAGAACAAATAAAGCAATCGGTCTTATGTAAAGAAGCCTCTGCTTCGCACCTGGATAACAATGGCTGCCTGTCTCAGACGGAGGAAATGCTGTCTACACAGCAGCACCCGGAACCACCGCTGCAACAACACAATTCTACGGAGCACCTCCCGGTGAAGCAGATCTTGTAAGTGCTGCCGTTCCTGCTCTTTTAGGAAGATCTACCACAAGGAGAAACACAGGGAATGTAGCTTAAGAAGAAATTAAAACTTTGCTTTCATGAATTACTCTTCTTGTGGCAAGTTTTCCCACAAGAACAAATACAATGCAGACATGTAAATGAAGGACTGAAAAATTAAGTCTTGTATCAGCTGATCTAAAGTAGTCATCCTCAAATTGAAAAGATATTAAAATACAGGAGGGGAAATAAGAAGATGAACAAGAGTACAAAAATTCCACTGGTAGTGACTGGATACATTATTCCTTTGGGAAAATCACTTAATGAATTGATGTACAATTGAAAATGCATCAAAATAATATTTTTCAAGGGCCTTACAGGGGGAAAGATTGAGAACTATATTTTGAAACTTAATCATGTGAATAAACCAATGACAACAGAATTTTTTAAATTTAGCATTCATCAAAGACTTATGGTCAAAGTTATCAATTAGGTAACTTATTTACTTCTTCCTTCCCCTAACACATTCTTAGAGACTTTGCAGTATACAAAAATAAATTAAGAGACATCTGTTTGGAAACAAAATTTATACTTCACTTTTAAATGCAGAAAAATATTATGCACCCTAAGAAGAAAACAATGAACTAATAAAGGCTAGAGACAGAAGATGTCAACTGAGTAACCCAAAGGGTTACTAAATAATAAAAGCATGGACAGAGGACAACAGAATAATTCATTTTCATGAAGAGGATAATGAATCATGTGAAGACACAACAGGAAGTTTTTTAAAAAGAGGAAGATGTTTGAATTTAATGAGGAAGTTACTGGGGGATTATTATTGAGCAAGAGGCCAAGACAAAATATATTCAGATCCTTTTAATAAGAACTAAAACAGATAAGTAGTAAATAAACATCTGTTATTCTAAAGGTAACTTACATAAGAAAAGCGAAAGAAAAGAAAATGGAAGCTAAAGGACAGAAAAAGGGACACGATATAAAAATCATCTGTTACTAAAATGAGAAACAGAAAGAATTATATTGAAGGATATGCCAAAATGATTACAGTTTCTAGCCTGAGAGAAGGAAAAAGAGTGAAAGGAAAAAAGCAGCTAATAAATTAAGGCCAGTAGGGAAATACGGACAAGTGAGTTGCTAACTATAGCAGAGTATCTAGTCAGAGATGGTTTAAATTACAGTTAAAATTACAGTCACAACTATAGCACTGACCAGAAATACTGTTAATTCTGGCTATATTATTTACAAAACCTTAATCAATTTCCTTATGAATCTCATACATGCTACTTTTTAAATAAAAATCTTCATAGTCAACAACTGACATTATTATTAAAATGAAAATGTACTCAGACATTATTATTAAAATGAAAATGTACTCAGATTTGACAAAGGAGGTATCTATATATCTATGTATCTATATATATTTTATATTTACCATGGTTTTTCCAACTTGGTAACTATCTGGATTAAGATTTATTTTCCCAAAGAAATCCTGAATATTAAATTTGGATGGAATAATACTTTGAGGAAGAAGTACATGAAAGTGGCTAACGAAATCCTGAAAAATAAAAAGAAAATGCTGTAAAATCACAAGAGAATTATATGTAAGCAAAATACTAAACAACTTAATTATCCTTTAATCTTATTCTTTTAAACAAGATGAAACAAAAAGAGGTGGCTATTAATTTAACATATCATAAAAGATAAACAACATGGGAAGGGAAAAAGAAACTGAGTTCTGCCTATTAATACTATGGAAATGAAAGAAGAAAGGCAGACGTTATTTATCTCTTTTGAGAAATATATATGAGAGATCAAAGAAAAGATAATTTTTTTTTTGTCTTTTTTTTTTTTTTTTGGTCTTTTTCCTTTTTATCGGTACCGGGGATCGAACTCACGACCACCTGCTTGCAAGGCAGGTGCTTATGCCACTGAGCTAAACCTCCAGCCCCAAAGAAAAGATAATTTAGCAAGAAGCTGAAATTCTTAGCCAGGAAACAAACAGAAAAAGCTAATGTGGCAACTTTTTATTTTATTTTTAGTATTGAGGATTGAACCATTCAGAATGGGCTATTTCCCAGACTTTATTTTTCTTTCGGTTTTGAGACCGGATCTCACCAAGTTACTAAGCTGCTTAGGCTTGCCTTGAACTTATGATGATCCTCCTGCCTCAGCCTTACCAGAGTGCTGAGATAACAGATGTGTGCCACTATGGGCTGGCATGGCAGCTATGAACAGGTATAACTCAGAACAAAGATTTCTTTCCCAATACATGAAAGATTCTAATACAATAACTCCAATATAATTTTCACAGCCATAGCAGTAAATACACAGGTAAAATAATACCTATGTAACTTCCTGGCAGCTTCCTATGAAAGAAAATTGTACCAGGAAAACTGTTGCATCTAGGTAATTTTAACTGACTACTTCAATTACAGGAACAATCAGCATGAAGAACTGCATTATCAGTCAATTTACTAATAGTAAACACTCTGATCTAACAGCCACACACTGGATTCTATTACAACATAAGCTTAATGATGCTACTAGTATCCAAAAAAACACCACTTTTTAAAACCTTTTCAACTCTGTATAACAAAAGGCAGAGCAAAAAGCAAGAATTAAGGGAAATAAACAATTGAGCCCCAATAAGATACGTGAAAATTTATCTGATGTGAATATATAAATGCCACTTTAGAAGCACAACCTGAAAAGAGTATTTGCAGCTGTATCCTGATTGGCAGATCCGAACTGTCTCCAGCATTCCTGTGTACCGGAGCTGTCTGAGTACCAAGGCATCGTTGAACCTTAAAGGCAGCTTAAACAAAACAAGCGGAAAAAGGTGAACCCAGAACAGTATTGCCTCTAAATTACTGTTTATCTCATAATCATGGCTAACTTTTGAGTATTCAGGGACTGCCTTGAGGTTGCCAGGTCAAGACACAGCCAAGGCAACAGGATAAGCTCACATCCCAGGTGGTAGTTACAGAACAGTTCTGTTGACCCAGGAGGAAAAGAGAGAACCAAGCTTCTAAGTGTCTCTGACTGTGCAGGTACAAGACCTTGCAGGAATATGGGTGTCCACAGAGACATCATAGTCCATTTATTATAAAATTTATAACATGAGTAATCTACTTAAACATAGTCAAGACCTACTTGTACAGTATTTTTATTTCTGTTGTGATTGTATTTTCTTTTTTGAGATGGAGTCTTGCTGTGTTGTCGAGGTTGGTCTAGAACTCCTAGGCTCAAATGATTCTTCTGATTCAGCCACTCTTGTGCTAGCACTATACAGGTATCTGTTATCACATCTAGGGTCTATTTTTACATTTCACTTACTGTTACCTACAATAGCATAAGAAACCCTCTGTATGTCAGTTGTCTTGGTTAAATGAGAGCTTAAGGATTTTTTTTTCCCAGTGAAAGGTGCAGAGTAGTTTATTTCTCTAATACTTTTTTTTATGATAGTAACATAAAAAAGCTCTAAAAAAAAACCTCATAGTCCCTCAGAATTAATCTCTTCATTATAGGCATTGACAAGGAGAGGCTAATGTGAGGTAGCCACTCAACATCAACCTTAACATCCTATCACTCCCAAGATACCTCATCAGGCATGTGTTTGGATATTAAAAAGAAGATACACAGGAGTCTCTGATATTTCTCTGTTTCCTAAATAGTATTTTCAGTGATCCTCTAAGGCAATCTCAAGCACTTTCCCCTGCAGCTAGATGAAACACACTAGCTATCATGGAAAACAAAATGAACAATTACTGTCAGACAATAGTTAACATTTAGTATTCTGTACCCTGAAATACTCCATGTATAGTAAGATCTCAGTAATTGAAACTCAAACTTCTATTTAAATATAGTAGTTTCTTTTGTAGTCATTCGAAGAGTCATTTATTTAATAACTACTTAGTACAGGAAGGAATTAAGCACTTTACAGGTATTAACATATATGGTCACAAAGCAGTAAGAGATTATTCCTAGAATTATAGTTTATTATTACATATGTTAAAACCTTTTCATTTTAATTTTTGTATATGTTTATAGCATATGTTTATAGTACATAAAGCACTAACTGAAATGCTTAAGCCACAGAATAATCAAGTGCTATGGTTTATATCTAGATGTCTCTCAAAAGCCTTAAGCTCATAGCCCCGGGGTTGGGGGCTGGTGGTAGGAGACAGGTTACTGGGAATGTGACCTGGGAGGGTTTTAGTCCCCTTTCTGACTCCTCCCTTGATGTTCTCTGATTTCTGTCTACGCCACCCTGCCTTGGAACCAGCTAACTATGAACTGAAACCTCTATAAACTGTAAGCTGAAATCAATCTTTCTTCCTATAGTGTCGGGTACTGCGTCTCAACAATGAACAAAGTTCACTGATATCAAGTAACTGCTCTAAAATTTTAAATAACAGAGCTGCATATTATTTCTGTAAAAAATGAGAAAGCTGTACATCCCTACTATATTTTGCTATTTAGGCTGGAACTACTTTTTCCTATGATGAACATAAAAATGACAAAGATTTACATAAATATTTATAAAGAGTTATTTTTATGTTTTGAATTGTCTGTGTTTCTTAATTATAGGAATTGCCATAGAAAAGAGAAAGAAACCAAGAATGAGATCTTCTCTAAGTTACAGGAACAAGAATCCCTAAACATGAAAAATATACAGCAGTTTTTTAAGAGGTATAGCACATATCCCAAAACAAGACCTTTCAAGTCAAGTAAGCTCATTTCTTTTCTTTCTTTCTTTTTTGGTACCAGGGATTAAACTCACGACTTCGTACTTGCCAGGCAGGCACTTAACTTCACAGCCCCAAGTAAGCTCATTTCTAAAGACATTTCCAGGTTATTTGCTTTTCCAATTCTAGAGATGCTAAATCAAGCTGGCACAAACACATTAAAGATAGGTAAATGTGGACATCAGAATGGGAGCCATAAAAATACTTATGAACATTATTTTCCTTAAAAAATTAAAAATAGCTTTCCGTCTCACCAATCTCTTTAAAAATAATTTAAATCTTGGTTTGAAGTAACCGGAGCTACATGGTAACATTCACAGAACATTTTTACCTTTTCAGCATTGGAACGAATGCATTTCACAAAATACGGTTCTGCTTGATCTAGTGTTTCCATCAGCTTGCTTAATGAAGCCTGTAATTCAAAGCAACACAGTTAGCAAACTCTCCAGTTCCAAACTAGCTACCAATAATTTATAAAACAAATAATAGTGGCAGAGTATGTAAAAATTGTCTACAAACACAGAAAAGAGTTTTCTTCTAGAAAGCAAACTGTATTTCCCCATTCTGGTTAAATTTAGCATAAAGACAAGGATGGTAGTTCAGTTTTAAAGCTGATAATGATAATGGTAAATACTGCAGATATATTTCAGAATAATATAAGTAGAGAAAATTTTTGTCAATATTTTTCAAATTTCCTTACACAACTTTATTCAAATGTGTGCATTTTTGAAGAACTTTAAAACTCATCCAGGAGGGTATCCAGTAAATAAGCACTCTATTGCTTTAATTTTAATGTTTCTAGAATATGTAGCAATGTCTACTCTTTCATTCCAGAAATGATAATTTGTAATGTCTTTTTTTCTGGATTAGTCTAGCTAGAGATTTACAAATTTTTACATCGGTTCAAAGAATTACCACTTTGGTTTCAGTGATTTTTTCTTTATTTTTGTTTTCAATTTTATTCAATTATCTTTTTATTTCCTTTCCTAAATATAGATGTGCTCATATTTTTCTTTTAGTTTCATGAGGTTTGTGTTTAAATATTTAGGACTTCTATTACCACATAAACAAACACTTAGGGTTACATATTCAAAGTAAATTACCCCTTTATCATTACAAAATATTCCCCTTTACCCCTGGTAATTTCCTCCATTCTGAAGTTTACTTATCTGGGAAACAAGGGAGAGAAAGGCTACTTTCTGTTACTTCAAACAAAGGACTGTGCTGACTCATAATAAAATACTGGTGGCAAGGCCAACCTGGGCTACAAAGTGAGTTCAAAGCCAGTCTGACTGCATAGTGATACCTTGACTAAAAAGACAGACAGACTGACTGACTGACTGGCTAAATAAATGTGGCTGTATCTCCCAGCAGCATGAAAGTCCTAAGTAGCTGAGCTGAGTCTGCCTGTCAGGCTGGGAGAGGAGCAGCAGATTTATCAGCAAGTTTAAGATATCTCAGCAACAACATTACATCAAGAAAAAGCCACAAAGTTCTGTTAAGTAACTGATCAGGGAAATGGCATTTGTGAAGTGGCTATACTTTTGCAAGGGGGTCTATGTGTAAAGACTCCATAGTTCTTCCCTTTATGATCAAGTTGCATCATCTCAAAGTTTTAACTACTAAGAAAATTTGGTGCCAGAGGAACTGACTCATTTAAAACTGACATTTCACTGCTGGAGACAAACTCTCAAGAAGGAATATTCCAAAATATGACTAGGGTGGGAATTTACCAAAAGATTGGTGGGGTTGGGAGAGATACACAGGGGGGCAGGGAGGGGGGAGGACACAGTTACACAGTCAGGGGGGAGAGGGACAGATGGGGAGGAAAGGAGAGAGACAGAGGGAGAGGAAAGAGGGAGAAAGACAGGAAAAGGGGAAGGGAGAGGGAGAAAGGTGAGAGGGAGAGAAAAAGGGAAGAAGGGATGAAGAGAATCTTCTGCCAAAATGCTATTTATTTTTGTCAATCAGATGCTTCCTCTTTTTTTGTACATTTTAGGACTGATTCCACTGTAGTTTTGTTACTAATCATTACTTATATTCCTTTAAAAATTGCCCAAGGATTTTTACTTTTATCAGTTTACCTTCAAATAATGGTATGTCACTTTCTACACAGTGTACAAACTGCAACAGCACATTTTCATCTAAGGATTACTTTCTTCTATTACGTTTTTTTCATACATTTTATTTCTAGCCCACAATATATTATTGTTTTTGTTTGCTACAACCAATTATCTTTTAAAAGAGGAGAAAAAAACATTTTCAACTAAGCATTATTTCAGTACTATTTATGTGGGCCCAAATTTCCAGTGAATTTTTCCCATCATTATTCTTTATTTTATGTTTATGTTTAGTATTTCTCGTATTACAGATCTGGTAATGAATTTTCTTAGCTTTTTTTCTGGAAAGTCTCTATGTAATACTCATTAAAAAAAAAAAAAATTCCGGACATTCCCCCAAAGCCTCATGGTGGGGGGCAGGCTTTTGTGCTGAATCTAGAGTTTGTGTTTGGTTCATTGTCTAGTGCTGGGGTTCAGGGTGTGAGCGCTACTACAAGCACCTTAGGACAAGTGGCCTGCATAAAACAAGAGAAGAAAAGAGGCTTGTTTCTCTCCTTTTTTGTTCTTGTGGCTTTTGTTGTCTTCTGCCACCATAAACAGTTGCTCCTCTGCCATCCACCACTCTGCTTTGGAGACAGCTGTTTATGGACTAAAACCTCTACAAACAATGAGCTAAAGAAACCCTTCCTCTAGAGTATGTCATCCTTAATTTCCTATTAACTTAAATCTGAAGCCCTGCGTAACTTACACTGTTTTACCATGACTGATCTTAGTTGAATCTGGAGAGACAACACAGTAACCATTAGAGCACCTTGTACAGGGGCTAGGGATTTAGCTCAGTGGCATAAGCACCTGCCTTGCAAGCAGGCAGTCGTGAGTTCGATCCCTGGTACCAATAAAAAGCAAAAAGACAAAAAAAAAGAAAAAAGAACACCTTGTACAGTGCTTTTTTAAAAATTTTATTTAAAGAAAGACTAAACAAAACAGAAAATGTGTAGACATAATACATAATTTCAAAGAAAAAAATAAACAGTAAGAAATCACTAGTTGATATTTATATACTGTCCTCTTACAAATTCAAGATACTAAAGTGGAGCATATAAAGTGGGGATTCAAACAGTGAGACTGCAACCAGTTCTGTTCAACTATCCAACAAAAACTTAGAAATACAGTTATCAATCCTATACATTTAAACATACACACAGTTATCCATATCTTCAATTATGTTGAGACTGAACAAACCCAAGCAGGCTAATATCACTCTGAACAAAGAATACTACTACTGCTAGGTGTCACATTATGACACTCCAGGATCAGCACTGGATACTTTAGTGTCTCTTTTTCTTCAAAGTATTTGTTCATTTCATCATGTGTCATAGGATCAGTTCTCATAAACTATTTATAGGTTCTACATATGCATAAGTCTTTTTTTTTGGTCTTTTTTGTTTTTATCGGTACCAGGGATCGAACTCATGGCTGCCTGCTTGCAAGGCAGGAGCTTACGCCACTGAGCTAAATCCCCAGCCCCATATGCATAAGTCTTAACATGTTTTTCTTTCTTTCTTTTTTTTTTATCAGTACCAGGGATCGAACTAACAACTGCGCACTTGCAAGGCAGGCGCTCATGCCGCTGAGCTAAATCCTCAGCCCCCTTAACATGTATTTCTATCCTTTCTGTATTAGAGGGAGAAATAAAAGCAAAACAAACATTCCTATAAACACATGAAACGAAAAATACATATAAGACCGTTGTACAAGGAGTTCTACCATAGTTCCTGTGTTGTCTCTTGTTATCTTCAATTCTTGGCTATATCATCAGACATAGTATAATTGAATATATCAGTACATAACTGTATTAATAAAAACATAACTTTGTATATAGTATAAAACTTCAAAAACAGGCAGTAATCAAACCAGAATGTGTATTGTAGTGAGTCTTGTCATCTTCCGTGTAGTTGCCTATAGTCTCAGACTTGATACTATCAATCATATAAATTGTGAATAAAATCTGTGAATACCAAACAGCAATCAAACAAGCCAGATTTAACTAAGATCAGTCATGTTAAAACAGTATAAGTCATACAGGGCTCCAGATTAAGTTAATAGGAAATTAAAGATGATTACTGTGCTACATCCTGATGTTTTTGGGAGAGCTGTCTGTGTCCTCAAATCTAATGCAGTAGACAAACTGGGACAGAATAAAATCTATCTAAGCAGAGTGGTGCAAGTAATGTGGGTTTTAAATCCTGATACACTATTAACAATATCTTCTGCTATCTTTTTAAAGACTCTCTCTCCCTTTCACTTCCCCAGGGTACACTGTGCATTTTTGGTCTCACCAAGACTCTTGGTTTTAAATTGGGGGCGGGAGGGGGGGCAACCTGCTATTTCCCTAAGTGGTTCCAACTTTTTCTCTCCAGGACTTAATCTCTAATTGTATTCCTTCACCTATTAAAGCTTGTCTTTCCAACCTATCCACAAATACTGGTCTTCCTCATCTTTTCAGATCAGTTCTATACTATGTTTTTTTTTTTTGGTGCCGGGGATTGAACTCACAACCTCGCATTTGCCAAGCAGGCACTTACGCTGCTGAGCTAAACCCCTCGCCTATATTATGTTGTTTCATGTGAATTCTCTATATGTGAAGATATGGACAACTATTTGGAAGAAAACAGACAATATGATAGATAGTGAAGATCTCTAATTGTCTTGCTTTGAAATTTATGTCTCTTACATTGCTTTCTTATGTTCTGTTGTGTTGTGTTCAATTTTATCTTCTTTAAAATTTAAAAAAAGAAAGAAATCCTTCCGCCTTTAACCTGCCGTGTCAGGTATTTTGTCTCAGCAACGAGAAAAGTAACTCAAAAATATTCAATATACCGAAAATTACAGAATGACTACATATTTCAATCTTTTAAAACCATCACCGTTGTCTTTTGGTTTTTACTTTCTGATGAGAAATCCGCTGTTTTCTTATCTTCACTGCACCTTACATCTCTTCTTTCCCTCTCACTGTTTATTCTTTTTATAACTGGTTTTAGCAATTTGATATCATGTACTTTGCTATATTCTTTCTGCTTATAGTCTAATGATATTCTTTAATCTTTGCACTTTTTACTAAGTCAGAAAATAACTTGGTTTTCATTTCTTCAAATATGTTTTTCTGAACACTCTTTTCTTTCCTCTCCTTCTGAGATCCCAATAACACCTACTTAAACAAGTTGATATTATTCCACAAGTTACAAGATGTTTTCCCTATCTTCACTATTTCTTTCAGACCTTTAAACTAAATATGGCTTCAAATTCACTACTTCTGAACTACTTAATAATGTTAACTCTACTGGACTTATACTTTATTATCAAAAAATACATTTTTAATCTTTAAAAATTCCATTGAGCCTTTTTTTTTTAACCTGTCTTCTTCTTTGTTGGCTGCAATAAGTGAAAGAGGGGAGGGAGGGGATATAAGAGCTCTTTTCTGGGGCACATACAGAAACTCTGTCATTCAAGACAAATATATTCTATTTTTTTCCCGTCATATTCAGTTTGCTGTTATATTACATTCATGGGCATATTTTAAAAAATGTGCAATGGCTATTTTGAAATTTTTACCTATTTTTTCTACCATCTTGTCATTTTCAGGTCTACTCTGAAAAAGTCCTATCTTTTCTTTTTTCTTTCTTTTTTTTTTTTTTTTTTCCTTTGAGAAAAGGTATTGCTATGTACTTCAAGCTGGCCTTGACCTCACTATGTAGCCCCAGCAAGCCTTGAACTCATGGTAATCCTCCTGGCTCACCCCCAACCAGGTTGACACTGTAGGGATGTACTACCATGCCAAGGTATCTTTCTTGTTATGGATTATTTTTCTGATGCTTTGCACAACAAGTAATTTCTGATTGGATGCTAGACATTGTCTTTAATACTGCTGAATTTCTTTAACAGGTATTTTCCCTGCTATGTGATTAAAATGACCTTGGTTCTTTCAAGACTTGCCTTTAAGCTTTATAAGGGCAGGATAGGGTAGTCTTAACACTAGGATTACTTCAGTCTCAACTCTAAAGCAAGGTCATTCTGATCCGTGTACCAACAGGTCACTCCATTCTGGCTGCCAGGAACAAAACTGATCTTCTAGATGTATGTTTATATATTGTTACATCTACAGGATTCCAGTGGGTCTTTTCTCAGTCTCGTGTGGTTTTCACTCACATCTGCACAGATCAGCAATCAGTTATACACTCAAGGAGACCCTTAATAGATCTATTGCTTTCTTCTACGCGGCTTCCTCCTCTCCACTACAATGCTCCACAAATTCTAGCTGCCTCTACCTCTACCTTCATCTCTTCAATTAAATTAGCAAGACCACTGGCATCTATTTGAGTTCCCTTTTCCTGTGCTTACAAACCAAGTAACATACACAACGACACATTAGTAACTAATTTGTGAAAGGATTTTGCCCTAGATAGGACATTACAGCAGTGAGAGGCAGGACCAAGGGACGTTTACCTTGAGGTCATTTTCTCCCGCCCCTATGTAATTTAACTGTGGCGTGAAATGAATTCCAATGGGCTGCTTGGGCATCAGCAATGCCCCTTTAGGCACCACCCCAGACCAAAGCTATATGTATGCCCCCCACACCACGGGTCCGGCAGAAAAAGCCAGATCCCAGTGGTCAAGGTGTTTCTCTCTACATCCTTAAAATAAAGGCCACTTTACTTTATGTTTTTTGTTTTCTAACAGTACTGAAAAGCCTATCAATTTGTATTCAAACATCCGAACTTTAATAGGAGGAGAATATTTTTAAAAAATATTATGTAGAAATATAGTAGAAATCCTCAGACAAGAAAATTTCTAGTTAATAGTGATAAGGTGCTTTCATATAAACAAAGTACAGTTATCTACAAAACTTTCAGCTTATCTTTATAGTATTTATCAAGTAAGTTTGGAGAGAAATGATTTAAGAACAAAGAGGTAATTTAGAAAAATATCTTGTGAACATTTCATACATTACTTGGTTAATTTATTATGTGTTAATCCCTAAATGCCAAAAGGAAAAAAAAATCTGGATTTCTAATATAAACAAAACTAACACAAAAACTTACAATTTCAGTTAAATACTGATGGCAGTAGCACAAGGTTTAAGGTTTAACTATTACAAAAAAAAAAAAAAAAGACATTATGCTAAAACTGAGTACACCTGGGCTGTAGGATTTAAAAGTAGATTTTGTTTCTAATAATTTCCTCTCACATTTGCTCACACTAAAAATAATGAACTACTCATTTAGAAATCCACTATCGCAAGGTGTATGGATGAAAAATAAAAAGGCAGGTGACTTATTTTTGCCATGTTAAGTATTTCTTTACAAAGTGACCATTAAAGTATGGTTTTTAGTCACATAATCATATCCTAGTCAAGTTTCCTGCAGATCATTTTGACCTTTTAATGACAACTGGAAAGAAACACAATCTTACTTGTTATAAATAAAATAAGAAACAACCTGAAACTGGGCACTGATGCTGGGAGGTTTCTTCTTCTTGTGCAAATGAAGAAGGGACTTAGTAATGCGATCCTGCAGGGTCAGTCTGGTTAGATGTTTCAAAGAATTTACATCCAGCAAGTGCTGAAAAGAAGAAAAAAATTAATTCCTCACATAAATTAACCAAAAATAAAAGAAACAAAATCCTCAGTTTTCATGATTTCTTATCTATGTAATAATTTATCTTTTATACATGACTGTGATTGTTGGGCAGGATAATTAGACATTAGCAGGCCTCAGGGACAAAAGGGAAGTCCATAGCAGGCTTTTAGCAACTAGTTAAATAAATAAATAAAGATCTTAATGTGTAACACATTCATAATTATATATCAGATGTCAGGTCCAAAGACATATATCAATTTGTATTCAAACAACCTATTTCTAAAATAGCATTTGCATTCCTGGCTGCCATCCCCTACAGCCCAAAGATGTGAGGAAAAGAAATGTTCTTTAAAGACACTCTTGCCTTGAGCTGCAATCTGTTTTAAATTAACTTTTCTATATTTCTATCTTTTCTACATTTCTTTCATAAATTACTTTACTTTGATAAATTTACTTTAAGATTAAAGTCCATGAGGAAACACTGACCATCTAAAAAGGACAGAAAAATATTTTTGCTATTCTAAAATATTTTCTAAGTAACATACTGATAAGCTTCAAAACCACCTGAGCCTCAGGAGTAACTCTTGTGTGTACAAAAAGATACTAGGATTACACTGATGCAGATAACCTCTGGTACAACCTTCTTACTGAAGAGGTAGCTGTGTCTACAATAAATTCTACCAAAACTTCTGCATGGCCACCTATAACACAAAAGGATCCAGGAGATTTGCAAGGGCAAGTTCCTCGGGGTGTCAGGATTAGGCTTCCAAGTAATTATGATGAAAATAGAAAACTAATACTTAATATCCATTTTCCCCTCCTTTTGACTTTCCTCAGAAGCTAAAAATTAAACATTTACCTGTGAAAGTTAGAAGGCATAATTCAGACATAATGTCTGACTACTACATTTGCAAAAATGTACATAAAGATACTTTAGTTTCCTACAGTGCCAGGTTCCAGCTACAATTTTATGAGTGGTCAGAGAGGTAGAACACAGGACATTTGTGTTGTTACCACTACTGCTGTAGAGTAGAAGCAGATAGTTATAATGTGTTTTCTTTGAATTATACCATAATGGTATATGTTCCTGGAAGCAGTACCCTAGTTTTTTTTTATTATACCCTGAGTTAGTTCTGGCAGTATTGTTTAATATTCTGAAACTTTAAGGCTTCTAATGGCTTTAGAAGTATGTGGGTATTTTAATTGTTTCCTTCATCTTAAAAGTATCTACAGTGATTACTTATATTTCCAACTGATTCCTGCTTCAAAATGACAATATATTAAGATAAAAATCCCAAGGTTACAAAAGGTATACCTTTTGTGTACACACACACACACACAAATGCTTTATCTGGCCATCAACCTGATGAGCTATTCTACAAATTTAATGAGAAAGATGGAGTTACATATAAACCAACAAACTATACAAAGTAGGATAATAAAAGAAAGTAGTATAGGCTGGGCATAGTGATGTACACCTGTAATTCCAGCATGTGGGAGACTGAACTCGCTCTAAGTTCAAGGCCAGCCAGGACTGCAAAGTGAATTCAAGGCCAGCCTTAACTGCACAAGGAAACTCTGTCTCAAAAAGACAAATAAATAAAAAATAAGAAAGTAGTACAGCACTTTCTAGCAAATTACATTTTTTAAATCACACTATACTATGGTCATGCATTTTATAAACAGAAATTATGGAAATGCGATTAAGAAAACATCATTTCTGCCAGACTATCCCAGGCAGGGACCCTCACTGACTCAGCAAGGTACCTGCGGGAGTGGAGGCAGCCATGGTGACAGGCACATCACCGGGCCACCCTCAGTGGAGACCCCCCAAGACCTGGGTGTGACACACACACCATCAGTTGCTAAGATGAACCAGCACTGTACTTTGGCATGTGGACACGCAGAACAGAAGGGGTAGGTGGGACTGCCATTCTTCCTCCATCATTAAAGATAAATATATATGTATATTAAAGGGCTGGGAATAATCCCAGCAACAAAATGCCAACCCCAGCCCCCACATTCAGAGACCAAGATCAGCCTCTAACCAGCACAAATCCCACTGCAAAACTGGCTGGAGTACACATTTCTGAGATTAGACTTGGACCTACCATAGAGCTGCAAACACTTGAGGAATTTATTCCATTTATTTTTCTGTTTAAGCAGTTTTCCTCTTTCTCACTGAGGTCTTTTTTACATTTAGTTTAATTTGGTCTTGTACTATGTAAGACCTCACTTATCTACCTTGCCCCCATCCCTCTTAATTTTCTCCTCATGAGAGGGTAAAATCACTCCACTAAAGAGAGAAACATTGCATACAGGTTCTTAGTATATGCTGGGTTCTGTTATACAACTAGAGAATACAACTATGGTTAAAAGTATTAGGCTAATATTTACCACAGTTTGTCAGTAGCTGGGCTGCACTTGAGACTATTGTTACTGTTAACTGTACCACTTTAGTCAGGATACCGTATCTGCTATAATGAGTTGATCTTTCCTGTATGACAACACTGTGATTGTATGAGATCATTACCATCACCATAATCCAGTACCAAAGGACTGGGTGCTGAGTCAAATAGGTAAAACTTTTCATCCTCAACACATTGAAAAGGTAGCTTCTTTGGACACAAAGATCAAGCACCAATTACATCTAGAAGATATATCTGTGGCACAGCCATTTCCTAGGGAAGCCTCAATACTAGGGAGAAAGCTATCATAAGAGACCTATAAGCGTCAACACAGAAAACAAAACAATACAAAAAACAGAAAATAGAAAATGACAGGACACAGAAGCAAAATGCAACCCCACACTCACAGCCCTCCCAGGACAAGTCCAGAACACAGTAAGAGAGGAAATCGGAAGTCAATCACTGGAACTTTCTGAAATGATAGCAAGAGAAGTGAAAAAACAAATGGAAGAGGCTACAGAAAAAATAATCCCTTAAGGTGCAAAAAGAAACGACAATCAAGATGAAAGATTTTAAAGCAGAAACACATAAAAAAGAAATAGAGGTGCTCAGGTAAACAATGGATAGCATGAAAGCCCAACATAGGAAAGAGACAGAATCCGTGAAAGAGACACAGACAAAAGTCCAGGAGATTAAAAACTCCACTGAAAGTATATGCAACAGATTGAATGAAAGCGAGGATAGAATATCAGATCTAGAAGACAGGATTGTGGCTACTGTCCATCAAAAGGAAGATATCTTAAAAGAAAAAATTGTTTCTGCACGCTTGTAACCCTAGCTATCCTGGTGACTAAGGAACAAAGAGTACAAATTCTAACTTAGAGAGACCATGTCTCAAATAAAATTAAGGAGAAAACAAAAGGTTGAGGATATAGCTTAATGGTAAATAGTAATGGTTTCACATGTGTGAGGCCCTTGGTTTCATTTCCCATATTGTAATAAATAAACAAAGAAATCATCATTTCTAAGAAATGACAAAAAGTTTAATATATGTATATAAAAAGGACTTAAGAAATCAAAAAAACCCGTAATATGATAAAAAATGAGAAAACCTGAGTCACCCATTCTTAAAGCAAAAACAGCAAGTAACATAATGGTAACCACTCAATGTCATTTACACCCACTAAAATATTCTTTTTGGGAGGGGGAATTTGCATGGGATGCTTGGAATCTAATTCAAGGTCTAAGGTATTCTTAAAAAGCACTCTACCAATGAACTACATTCCCATTCCCTGTATGTTTTCTTTAAAGAGATTTTGAACATACCAGACTGGCACACAGAATAAGAATTACCAAATAGTATTCATGACAATCTGGAAAAATGGACTTATATGCATTGTTCTGTTAATATTAATTAGTAAAACCTTCCTGGCAAGCCATTTTACTTGTAGGAATGCACTGTAAAAAGATCTCCATGTGATTTATGAAAATTTAGTGAAAATTATGAACAGATACACAATTATATGGAGTTCTTTGTTTCATTCACACAACTGAATACTATATTACTCACAAAAATGCTGTAAACTTACATTTACTGACATCAAAAATATTTCTAAACATTTCTGAAAAAGTCAAGGAAAATGGCACACAGGCTGAATATTAGGAGGAGAGAAAGCAGGCAGGCAAAGGAAGGGAGGGAGGAAAGGGAAAGAGAGAAAAAAAAAGAAAAAGAAAAGAGGGCAGCTGAGAAAAAAAAAGATGTTATACTACAGGGAAAAAAAATTTAGTTTCAATCTATGTTTAAAGCTATAGTACATGTAATCACTAAATGTTTACCACGGTATAAAAGAAAATACCACACATATATACTATGGAAAATAAGCATAAAATAGCATTGATGTGATGTGAGTTTTTTAAACTTTATAAAAATGTATATTAATTCCTGCCCTAGAGTCTTTCCAGTGTCTTTTGACACTACAGAATATTCCAAAGCCAGACCTTCCAAAAGGCTTGGTTTTATGTGGTTTCCAATTAATAGCTTAAGTTTCTCAGAAAGTTCTTGCTTAATTACCAAAACAGTTGCTCATTTCTGTCAATTATATGTCACTTCATTTTCCATACATCAAAGAGTAGCATTTAAATTATCTAAATTATCTTTCATTTACTTCTTACTGTCTTTTTGTCTCTAGAGCATACATAAGCTCTGACAGGATAAAGACTATGCTGTTTATCTTGGTACCTTCAATTTATAATAGTGTCTGTTGTGTAGCTGATACTTAATAAACATTAATTCAAATGAATTAATGGTAACAAACTAAAGAATTCCTTCCTCAACAACTGGAGACCAGACCTGTGCTCAAAAACTCACCATAATTTGATGAATGAGCAAATATTCACAAAGTGATTATTACAGAGCAGCCTACAGATGCTTAGGACATTAAAAAAATACTAAGATTTATGGAAATAATAAGGTAGCAAAAAGGTAAAAGGGCCACATAGCCCAAAGGAAAAGATATAAAGTTAATCCTGTTCTTAGAGCTTCTGTTCATGATCTACTTTATTCCTTCTTGTTCC